AGGAAGGTCGATAAGGGAATACCTTGTGCAAACTCCTCCACGAGCACCTCGCGGGTAGAATAGTCCAGATACGGGTATGGGAACCAGGCTGTGGTGCGTGACCTGAACTTCTCACGGAACATGACAAGGTTTGTGGCTTCAATGCGTAGGTCCAATTGTAATTTCATCATTTCACCAAACTGATGAACTTCATCCGGTAAAGATAGCCAATTCATGGTAGGTATGGCGTTGACTAAGGATGCGAAGAACGACATGATTTTCAGATCTCTGTGAATCACGCGTTCTACCCTCGGATGAAGCACCTTGACGGCTACATAGGACGATGGTACCCTTTGAGGAGAGCTCTTGACTAACGCCCCTACGTTCTTTCGTACCTTGTCTCGTAGACCATGTGGATGAAGATCGATGTCGTCATCGGTCCCCGCAAGATTGGGCTTGAGCTTCGCCTTGTATACCTGCGCGATAGCGCCCACGCCCAATGGTTCTTCTTGGAATTCCTCGAATATGTCTTCGAATGGCAGCCAATTGAACGCCTTCCTTATTGTTCGCTTCGTTTGATGCAATGAGTGTGCAGGTGCATTAGAATGCAGTGATGACATGATGTCGCAGAGTTCCGGTGGGAAGATATCGGTACGTGAGGCCGCCCATTGTCCAAGCTAGATGAAGACCGCGAATGAGTAAAGTACGGAGTGAAAGAGCTCGACGACTAATTATTTACCTTGATGAACGCTGGGCCTGCGCGTTCCATAGATCGGACCAAAAACCTATACCACCAGAGAGTCCCTGTGCGTATGCCCTCGCGATCCTTCAACTGCTTTCCAAAGCATATCGTCGGAGCCGTAAGGATGACAGGTAGGAAGATTATGACGAGATGGACAAACCGGAAGCCCGTCGCAATCGGATCATATATGTAACAGTATGTAAAGACGTAGAGTGTTTGCCAGATTCGCTTCAAGCCTCGCGCATCGTCGTCGACGGTCTTTCGTACCTCCTGGCGCGAGACTTCCAGCATCTGCATCTCGCCGGTCTTCCCATTGTCGTCATCTCCATCCTCGGCCAGTTGTAGGAATGCTCCTGGCGTCATAGCAGCAATGAGAACAGTTCTGATCGAGGGACCTCCCCTCGGGGGTCTTCGCAAAGGCTGCTGCGTCCATAATGGCCTGCGCGCGAAACGCAATCGAGGCTGCGGAAGAAGGCGGGACAGTAGCAGTGGATTTCTACCACGGCTTAAACAGAAACGGCTCGCGAGGACGGCCGTCCTCATGTTCTCGTAAAGACACCGGCTCGAGAGCAGGTGAATCAGTCATCGAAAGCACAATAGCTGGCCTGGGCGGTCATAATAAAGGCGAGGGAGAGAGCGAAGAGGAGATGCGCTTGCTTTGCTTTGCTTCTGGTTGTTTGTTGGAGTTTCGGGATGGACAGGAAGCCCAGCCGGCGGGCCAAGCACGTGGGGCGACGTCATCGAGTAGTAGCACTTGTTCTCTCCTACTTACTGCTACTACGTAGTTGTGGTTTAGTAGTTCATACGATTTCTACGCATTCTACGCATTCATGCAGGCGCCCGCTTCACGATCATCTTTCATTCTATGGAGTCTTCTAATTACCCGGTTTTATCCATTTGACTAGGAAAGCTCATCCAGAGCTTACAAAATCTTTGCAGCCAATACCGGCCGGCAAGCCACTGTCTAAAAATAATTTGTATCAGACCAGAGGTGACATAAGATGGTATAAGATGCTTGTGAGGATGGATAGGCATGAGGCTCTCTTAGCCATTTACTGTTGGCTTGGAGTCTTGAAGATGCCTGGACACATGGCCGTGCATTAACTGCTGCATGGTAGATTTATCGGTTTCGGCAAGCGTGTCGGGCTGGCAAGGGGGCGTCAATACCAATCATGGCTAAAATCTTGGTTCTGAGAATAGACTTACTTCGCTCTTCAGCAACTCCTGCACCAGGACAGAAATGTTGTCACGATCTTTCTTTGTCTGCAATTGTTCGGTCTCCTCCGCGGGTTCAGAGGCTTCTGCACTCAACGTCTTCTCAAGCAGTGGAAGAATTTCCATCCTTTGTAGGGATCTTGAAACTGCCATGGCGCCCCCTTTATTGGACGCCATAAGGGCCATTGCGAACCAGCCTTCACTCCGGACGACAGGCCACTGTGATTGGGCGATCATAGCACCAACCGGCAGCGCGATATCCTCATGTAAGTCGAAGAACCTGTCCAGCCGGGCAACAGCAGTAGGATCCCCTTCCCGAGACTTTGGCACCAAAGTACGGCATATGGAGGCTACAGTGCGTCCAATCTCTGTTTTGATGGGAGTAGAGTCTGTCTTCTGGAAGAGAGCAAGTAGCAAAGACAAATACGTCCGTTCGTCGTTAGAATCAGTGCCGTCCCTGGGGAGTCCCTCTAGGAGACGAGAAATATTATCAACCGCTGCCACTATCACCTGCCGTGCGATGCTTGTGGCGGCAAATTGAACCTGGGGGACGGACTCGTATTGCCATAGACGTGAAACCGCTGGGAGTATGCCAGCCTCTCCAAGTACCAGCCTGTTATTACCAGCGATCGCAAGGTTCTTCAAGAATCCAAGCGCAGAGTGTAAGACCGCGCCTCTAACATCACTCTTAAGGATAGTGATTAGTTCTTCATGTATTTTTAGATCTTGAACCATCCTTTCGCAGGTCGCGTCTGAGCGAGCCAAGTTGCCCAGGATAACACAGGAGCATATCTGCAGCTGGTCATCCGTCGACTTTAGCCACGTCTTGAGAGATTGGGCCAGAGGGGAATCCAGCGGATAGTACTGCGCGAATGAGGTGGATCCAGAGATCTCCGCGAGGATTTGGTTGATCTTCAACCGTGACTGTGCTAGTGCCTGGGTATCCTCAGCAGATGACTCAGTCTTAAAGGTCAGTGACCGGCTGAGCACCCCCAGAATGTCGGGCACTATGTAACTGGATATGCAGATTTCTTGAAAGCGCGTATTGTTTAGGTATGTCGCCAGGCCACTGACAAGACCGGAGAAACGGGCTGGGGTGGAAGCGACATCTTCGTCAAGAGCAAGTTCTACAAGAAGTGAGATAGTCCCATCGGGAGACGAGGCGATTCCTTGCTCTGAACATTCCCACAGTTAGAATAGAAATGCAAAAGGGGGGGGAGCGAAGTCATGCCTTGTTCTCCAACCAATTCGATAAGCTCAAAGACGTAGTCAAGCAGGGCATCCTTGTCCTTGAAGGCACCATCTTTCACTAATTTCAAGAGGATATAGACTATCTTATCGGCAGCTAATTGTGTCTGAGCAGGCCCTATGAACCGTCAGCATCGTAACTAGCTTTGAAATCCGAGCAGGGGTTCCAATTACCGAAGTCGATGCAAATATTATAAAGGACAGGGATGACCACTTGAATCAATTCTGGATTGCTTGAGTGCTGTACAATAGCAGCCGTGTAATTGTGCTCCACTACAGTCTCTCTATTCTCATCTGGAAACAATCAGAATTGAGCTTTCTTCAAGTTTCCCTTGGGGCCAGGGAACTCACTAGTGTCAGCACAGGAATTGCCGACGAGCCGTAACGCATGGAGGATGACTCTGTTATCAATGGTCTCCTTCGACGCTATAAGCTGAAGGAAGAAGTCGAAAACCCCAGTCTTGCCATAGGATACCCGCCATAAGGCTATCAAACATATTAGCTAGGTTACAAGACAAAAAGTGCTTGGTTGATGGTGATGATGATACCACCGAAGTGGTTGATGACTTACGGGCTCTGCTGCCATTCGCCATAGCCTCTGCAGCTGGTACTAGGTAAGGTGATCTGCACGTCCACAGCTTCTGAAGGATATCTGGAGTCTCTTTCAGAGCGTCCGAAACGTCTGCATTTTCTGCAGCTTTGAGGCATTTTTGCAGGGACTCGAACAAGTTCTTCTGTTCTTCAGATGGCAACGGCTCAGTTGCCGCAAGTGTGGAGGCCGGTGGCAGTGAAGCCAATTCGGAGAGAACTTGACTGAGAGGGGGACATTGTACTCTATGAGCACTCCCAACTGTCCCTGGGTTCAAATCAGATTGATGGTCGTTGCTCTGCATGCTCCCTGGGACGTCAGTCCTGCCACTAGGGGGTTCCATTTCTTGAAGCCCACTTTTTGGTCGGTATGGCAAGCCCAAGCTAGGTGGTTATTGTAAGACAATAAAAAGGCGCTGTCCTCTAAAATTTGATGCTATGTCAGAGTTATGAACTGCTCAATCATGAGGTTGTAAATGATTGCTAGGATGAATTCTATAGAGTATTGAGCGACAATGGTGTTCTTCACCTGATCGGAGTTAGCGCGAGAAACTATTGCACCCGAGGAATCCAAGGTGCAGGTAGAGCAAATAAAATGCAGGTGGTGTATTCTCAAAAGTAGTAAGTAGGTACTAGTAGTTACTGACTCTCTGCTACTCCAGAGGCTCTACTTGCGAGAAGAGACAAAATATCCAGATTAAGCAATTTCTGGAGCCTTTTACTTGTTTCTTTATTCAACATGCCAAATCTAACATTGCAGAAATAATCCATACTTTTACATTCTATACCTCACAGCACACAGCACTCACAACATACCAACTAACCACGGGACAGACGCAGGTCCCTAGTTTCCAGAGACTTGACCCCCCCAACGTCATGAGAGGGGGAAGTAAATCTACCCCTCCTTGACCCTTACTTACCTTGTCAGGTAACTACCCTGCAGTCTAGTTAGTTAATAATAATTGATTAATCAATTTTGTGTCCATAACCAAGGAGCAACAGAAACTAAACCCGCATTGGGATGGCGTACGGCGGCCCGACTAGTCCCGATATGGCAACTTGGCCAGGCGCTCCGTACAGACAGACAGACAGACAGACAGACACCAGCTTAACTCTCCCGCAGTCTCTCATTCTAAACCCGGGCAACATTGTAACATCACTTCTACCCTCTTTTACTTCAATTCATCTTGACCAAGTCTTTTCCTCTCGACTTTACACAAACATCATCATGACGCGTGCTCAGCAGACTCTCTCCGTTCTCCTACTTGTCTCCTCGGTATGCTACTAGCTCCGTCTAACAAACACGCTGTACAATTGTCGCAAACCACGTCACTAACCAGCTTAATTTCCACCATGTCCAGCTCTACCTAGTCCTCTACCTTGGCCTCGTTCCTCTCAACGAGACCGTCCAGACTGAAGTCATCCCTGTTGTACGTTTCCCCATCGCCCACCTCTGCGACCAACAACCCATACCACCCCCTCCTTCATCTACAATATCTCCGATCCGCAATTCCACACTCCCAACTTGCTAACCATCACACTTCATCTTCTGCAGCTCCCATTCTACGCCTTAATATGTTTTGGCTGTTATCTTCTCGGCCGACTGGGTCTGGCCATCCTCACATTCAATGACGTGCCCGAGGCGCATGAAGAGCTACAAAAGGAGATCGAACAGGCCAAGGCCGAATTGCGCAGAGCGAATGTCGATGTCGATTAAAATCAGCGAATCCCTCACTTCCCAATACCATATCAGTTTCTTTTCTTGTTGATTCGGCTGGTTTGTGCAATATGGTGGTCTGGTTTACTTGGATGGGGGCGGTTTATTACTACTAGCTTCTTATCAATGTTAGGTTTTCCTGGGGCAAAAGGAGCCCTTGGAGCATTGTTCCTTTGATGTTCTGTATGTGGAGGTGTGGTTCACGCCATTACACTGAAATAAACTCTTATATTAGTCTGGGTAATTGGGTTTCAGCGGTCAAATTCGATTTTGTTTGTTTGTATGTCTTTGCATGGCATGTGTATTACTCTGGAATTACTGTTGAATTGTGGTGTTACTCCCCTATCTGGGGACTCTTGCATTATGACACATTGCCATCTACATTCTATATTGAACGCCATGGAGAAAAGGAATTGTTTCGAATTCTGTGTGAGCGAATCTGAATCGCAACGGTTATCAAGAGGCAACACCAGTCTATGTGATTTGAAAGATACGCAGGCGCTGTTCTTGAGCAAAATATAAACTAAGATCTTCATCATTCATGGTACCAAAATTGCTTTTGTTCTATCAAATAAACCCATCAAAACACCTTTCCGTAGCAAACCTGAAACATGCAAAACTCTTCTTCCAATATCTAACGCGAAACGCAGCATATATGCAACCAACGAGAGCCGGTATCTATGCGTGGATGGCTTAACCAGGATTTCTAGGCATGGAAAGACGAGGTAAAAAGAGTGGCTAAGCGAGAGCAATATCGCGCTGACTAGAAGAAGCTCAAACGAGAGGGTTCTCCTGAGCAAGTCTGTCGTGCTCGTCAATGTCCCTGTAAGATGTATATGTTAGTTCATATATCCATAGTCCGGCGCTTTGTCCAATGACGTACTTAGCTTCCCAAGGATAGCAGATCCAAACATCAGCGGTGGTGACGGATGCGTGGTAACGGCCAGAAGTCATCATATCCTCGGGCAAGACACCCTTCTTCGGCTTGTCCTTGTTCTGAAGAGATTGTTAGTCGTATGAAGGATATAATTTCGGCGAAAGCAACGAAATCGTGATAATGAACGTACGTGAACAACGTAGACAAAGAAGTTGGTCTTCTCGCCTTCACGGCCGAGCTGCTTCTGCGCAATCTCAACGTCCTTCTGGAGCTCGCTGACGGCATATTCGAGGGTGGTACGGGTATCGTCAACTTCGTCAACAATGAGGATGTTCTTGCCAATGAGGTTGGCCATTTCCAAGGAGCTCAGGTCCAGCCATTGTGTACGGGTGACCTTGGTTCCGGGAACTTCCTCAGCGTCACCACGACCCAGGTCCTCGTAAAGCGACAGACCGATGGCCTGAATGGGGATATTAGGCTCGCCAGTGCGCTTCAAGAAAGAACTGCGTGAAATATAAGTGTCAGAATAAGGTTCCTAAATGAGGTTGCGTTTTATTCCGACGAACCGGAGAATGCGGGCAGGGATGTAGCCACCACCGCCGATAGCAATCATAAGATTGGGCTGGAAGGTGTCCAGGATCTTGTCAGCGGAGGCCTGGCATAGTTTGTGAACCTGCCAAGGACATTCGGATGTTAGCGGATTGTTGCAAACTGAACGGGCGAATGTGTGACGGCCAAGCTAGGCTGCGACGTAGGTATGTGGCCAAATGACCGAGAAGTATGAGCATGCAAGACCGGCAATGGCAGATACGCCTCACACAAGCCCAAAAACCAAGACCATCTACATGTGGCTGAAGGGCTCGGAAAATGTAGAGATTTCGAAAGCAACCTGCATACCTGGTTGTACGTGACATAAACCTTCTGAGGCATTTTGACGGCGGGTGCGAGGGGTTCGCAGGAATTGACCGATTGAGGAGATATGATAAGTAGAGTTGGAGATGATCAAAAGGCTTGACCGGAGGTCAGGAGCGTGTACAAGTGAGATGGATAGGTGAGGATACTAGTGAGCACGGAGATGGCAAGATCACATATGAGGGGTAAATTGGAACCCAGAAATTTTTTTTTTCCTTTTCGTTTTTTTTACCCCTCGTTTTTTTTTACTCAAATTTTTAAATTGGGATTAAAGGAACACCTGCGTCACAAGCTGGATAACTGGATAAGGTTCTCTGCCGAGTACTTTTGCCCGCCGGCGCTGCCACACGACAGAGACAGATCAAATCATGGGCCCATGGGGGACTTTACCATATTCGGGATGCGGGGACTGTATTGTGGCCTATTAGGGTGTATCTTTATGCGCTAGTATGGTTTCTGAATCCCATTTGGGTATGGTCTGTTCCTGCCATCAGTAATGGAAATCAGTTGGAGAGGCGGAGGACGGAGGTCTCCGTCGCTAGGCGGTTTCCAAAACAGGATGTTCCTGATATGCGTACTCTTGCGTTCTTCTGTACAAAGCTTCTTTACTAGTTACGTAGATCCTATGCTTATTACAGGAAATGCATAATGCAATTTCAGAATATACACCTTACTTAGGTTAGTTCATAACCTTAGGAGTAGTGTAATTCTCTATCTAGTTCTATGGCGGGGTATTCGGACCCCTCCACTAAGTAGGGTCTCCCCCCTCACTTACTACACAAAGTAATTTTTTTGACCAAGAGAACTTTTATCGTCATTCGGTACCCGATTATATGCATCTTATGGGTATATATGCTGCGCTAAAATGACCCAGACAAAAAAAACCTTCGAAGAATTCATCCCATCTCAATAACAACTTCCATTTGCCTGCAAGAGCGAGACGTTGGCACGCCTCTATACAGGCGTATTCTCACCTGGCGACTCAGGCTTTATTCGGTTGACCTCAAAGCCTCCTTCATCTTTATCTTCTCCTTTCTGCGGCCAAAGTATTTGGTGATGCACGATGGCACGCACCATCATATAACAGACGAAGATATACATCAAGATTAGCGGAAACACCATAGCGCAGCCGATGATGGATATTGCCTTGCAAGAAAAGGCCTTTCCAATTGCAAAGGTTGCCGTTATCAGTGCCGTGTTCGGGAATACGAACGAGAACCATGCCATTGAAAAGACCATCCGGCCCGGTCCAATGGCAGACCAATGTGCGAAGCTGGCAATGAAGAAGAAGAATATTGCTAACCTGAAGCGCGTATCAGTACGGGTTTCGTAGAGACATTCAATGTAAAGGGGGCCAGTCATTCTTACCCCCATAGCCATAAACAGGAAAAGTTGGCAACAACTTTCACAATGTCTGCAGCTAATGCACCATTGCCCATGAAATCCTCCGGGAAGCTTCTTTTGGCATGGGCTGCCATATTGACAATCCCAGACACAGTAAACGCACTAGGACCAACCGACACGAACATACCTGGTCGGACATTTTCTCGGGGGAGCTTTTGCGACATCAGCCGGTAGATAAAAGCCGAGTATACCATCAGGGATACTAAGAAGCCAACGCCCTGGATAGTGGTACCACCAATTATGATTCGCAAGGAGCGAGCAGGCTCAAGTTTGGAGCTCAGGATCCCAGCGTGAGGGCCTATTATAAGCATTGGGTACGCAGGGAAGATCCAAATAGGTGTCATTTGTGCAATTGTAAATGTCTGGGTCGACCACCTACAGCTCATTAGTTGTCCTGCTTGGTTTCTAGGCTCACAAATTTGATGTTAGGGCTCTTTGTACTCACAGAATAAGGTAAATAGCGGCAGAAGAGATGACTGCCAGGGCTGCATCAATCCAGAACAAAATTCCGACCGCATATGTGAGCCAGGGCCCTGTATGATCGGGTCCATATTGTGATATATTGATCAAAATCGTCCCGAAAGAGACCAGCGAAGCTGGAACGAACAATGATTCTGTCGGATGCAGAAAGGATGCTTTAAAAGTGTAAGGGTATAGATAGAAACGTGTTATCAAAAGACACCAGATTAAGATGTAGAGGAACAAGTTGGCTAGGAAGAAGATGATTCCAATGGTTTCCAAGCCGCGAAATCTATAGGGTACTATTTCATACTGGCGATCAGTACAATTACCCCATACCTACCTAAGACAAGGACACACTCACCAAAGTACAGAACATTTGCGATTCCCCCAGTCGCCATAGTTAGGGTGAAAAATGCCCAAGTAATGTGACGAATACGCTTCTTCCATCCAAGACCAGTTGGTCTGGTTTCAGCTTCACTCTGGGGGTAAGCCATTCCATCCACACCCTCGTCTCCATCTCCTTCAGACTTGCGATATGAAGAGCTGTGAATGGCGTCTAATGCCGAGGTGTGGGCCTGGCTTATTATAGATCCTCTGGGGTGAAAGTAAGAATCGCCGCCAGTATTTCCTGCAAGGTCATTTTGGGTATCTTCAATGGTTGGGGTTCGGTAGCCATCATCCCCTGGGCTTCTCAGGTGTCTGGGAAACAAGCGATCCGGAGTCATTGCGGTTTCTCTGTGGGTAACGACGCAGTCATGCTTGTAATTTCTTGGACAAAGTCTCAGATCAGATCCCCTGCTGATCTCTTCTGGAACAGGTTCCTCGAAATGCAACTTCCCTTGCTGGGCAAGGTTTTCTCAGGTCGGGAATATCGGTCTCCAACTATATACCTCACAACTTGGTCTGAAACACATACACAAGGAGTCGGCCTGCTAGGGGGGGGAAGGGTGATGACGACCACACAGATTTGCTTTTCGTCTTAAAGAGAAGTAAATCGCTTGAAATCAGGGATACAAAGCTGAAAGGGAAAGGAGATACAAAATGACGTAGAGGAAAGATCGGCCCCAGATCGACAAAGCCAGGAAAACCCACGCGTAAGACTGGTTTCACACACAGTTGGAACTGAAACGCATAGGGCTGGAGGACATATATAGTAAGTAGTAGTTTAAATACAGCAAGGGAAACTAGTAACCACCACAGTGAGAGTTAATAAAGCGAAGAAAATAAAAACAAAAATAAAAGTCAAAAACAAGCGACTCCAGTGCGGCAGCGATCAAGATTCGACGGGGCAACTAGTTAGTAGTTATAGCTCCTCGCATGTCATCATCGCGGCACTGCTTTTCCTCTGGCTAAGTTGCTAACAGGAGGCCGCCGTCCACTTCGCCGGGTGTTGGCACCAATCACACAAATGGGATCTTCCCGGTGGACTTTGTATGAGGAGGGTGGTTCGGGGCCAAGCGGGTGAGCGAAAAGGGCCGTCAATAGTCAAGATGCTTCGACACAGCTGATTCGGGGCAGATGCGTGCAAGTGATTGTCTAGAGCAGCCTTCCAGTTCTTGGTCTTCAAACTGTGGAGGACAGTATCACTGCCGTAAGTCCGAGGGCGACACATTGGGCAGGCAATAATGAATCAATCTGTTGCCTCTCGGATATCGGCACGCCTCCATTTTCGTAGCGGGGAAGCGGGAAACGGGAAGCATACGTCGCCTATCTATATACTGTTAGTAGCCCGAAAGCTTGGTACCAACTATGTACCACTAGATCAGAACATCTAGTCTTTGTCACCCAATTATTGCCTGCATGGTACTGACAAATACTTACTACTAGTACTCTCGTATTCTTCAATCCTGCCGCAGATAAAAAGTATTGTGATTCGTTGCGTTGCGTTGTAAGAGTACTACCGACTCCTCCAGACCTCTCCAATGAAGTCTATGATCCATTTAGTGACGGCGCAGTAGCTAGCTCACAATTTTCTCAATCGATTATTATTGCCCATCATACTATTGAGTTATTTCCCCGTTAGCCAACCCTGAACAAATTGGCGAAAGCACAGCTAGATAATTCTTACCCTTTCCGTCGATACTGCCCAAGGGATGCACATCCTACCTCATGATCAGCATGATAGCTAAGCTGAGAGCATTTGAGACACATGAAGTAAAGACGACCGACCCATTTATGGCCCGTCTTTAGATGGATGTCAGAGGGCTAGATAGCTATCTGTATCCCTAGCATGGGATAGGATGGATAGTTATTATAAACTCAAGCCTGCAGGTACACCTCATCTTGCATATGCCACTTACTACGTGGTTATACATGCGCGAGGCTGGCTCTCAGATCCAGATCTCGTATTGTCACATTAATCTAGAATCTCATAAATCCTCTTTCTAAGTATAGTGCCCAGTACATCTTCACGAGTACATTATTTCCCTACTCAGAAGCCTGCCGGAACATTTTATTTCCGGGTCAACATTTTACAACAGCAACGCTTCTGGGATACAATCATTCTAGAATACACATGACCAAAATGATACCCCTGTGCTGTTAAGAATTCCATAAGAGTTATGAGAAACTCTGACTATCTAGGTAGTATACAGTAAGTGTCGTGTCAAGTTCGGGTAATCAGTTTGAAATCTTCGTTTCATGCATAAACGGAAAGCTGCAGCATCTTCTCAGTAGGTTTTCAATAATAAAGTGACGGCTAAATATACAGGATGCTAATCAAAACAAAATGCCGCCGGGAGGTTGAGCAGCTGGCAGCATGTGTCGGGAGTAAGGTATATATTCCTTTTTACATGTGGTAATCTTACCGAGGTTCTGCATCTGAACTAGTGTGATCGGCAGGATAGGTACATAGATAGCAGGAAGCCTCGGAGAAGGACTTTCCAACTTTAGCCTGAATTTTGTGACAGATCATTAAGATACATCAGATCCCGCACCTTCGACAGTCATTCTCCATCGGCCCCGCTTTAAAGCACAATGAGAGGAACCGAAGACGGACGGAAGTCTGTGCTGATTACAGGGTAGGTGTTGCACATGATCGTCATTCCGTTGACATGTTACTTATGCCGCCTAATCATGCAGATGTTCTCCTGGCGGTATTGGGAACTCTATGGCCCGTGAGTTTCATCGGAATGGTCTGCGTGTGTTCGCTACTGCCCGTGATGCAAAGACAATCGAAGATCTATCGTCTATTGGGGTCGAGACCTTGAGTCTTACTGTGGACGATGAGGAAAGCGTCCGACGATGCTTTGAAGAAGTGAAAGAAAAGCTTGGGGATAAAGGACTGGATTATCTTGTCAATAACGCGTAAGTTGTCACCTTTCATCCGGTGACACTTCATGAGCTGATATAGTCGCCAGTGGCCGGAGTACGTCTGATTATTCTTATGGCTTCATGGAAACCCTTTCTTATGCATGATAGATTATACTGTGCCAGCTATGGAGGCAGAGCTCTCCGAAATCCGTGACACGTTCGAAACGAACTTTGTCGCGGTTGTACACATTTGCCAGACCTTCCTACCGCTACTTATGAAGGCTAAGGGAACTATTGTACAGATTGGTTCTGTTGCTGGGGTGGGTGTGCTCGGAGATAAGCTTTGGGAAGCTACTTGTGCTGATACTGGTCCAGGTTGTTCCCTACGTTTTCGGGTCCGTATACAACGCCTCAAAGGCTGCCGTGCACTCGTTTAGCGATGCCTTGCGCGTGGAACTAGCTCCGTTCGGGTATGTTCCTTCAATACCCCCCTCCGCCCTGCAACAAATTTATTGATGCGGAAATGTCAAGTGTGCACGTCACTACCGTCGTTACCGGGGGTGTGCAATCTCGCATCGCCCGTGTCAAGCGTACTCTGGTTCCCGGCTCAATCTATGCACCAATTGAGGACGAATATAACCGACGGGTGGTACATAGCCAGGCTGGGGCCATGCCAAACGAAGCATACGCTCGCAGCGTGGTCACACAGGTCCTCTATGGGTCTGCACCATGGCGCTGGATTTGGCCCTGGGCGCAAGGTCGGAAGAACTGGATCTGGGAAGGTAACAAAAGCTGGTTGATTTGGCTGCTTATGGGAGGATGGGCCTGGAATGGCCTGTCTGGGAAGATTGTGACGAAGATGTTCAAACTCAACAGACTCAGAAGAGCTGCTGGGAAATGAGGGAAGAGGGGACAGCGTAAGGGCGGATGAATCTGTTTTGCTGGTCGGGGTTCTCGTCGATCCTTCGGGTCATTCGTTCCAAGTGTAGTATTAGCATTCCAAAACACGGCGTTTTCTGGTTGGGATGTCATCTTCTCTGCTTGAACCGTTTGCTTGACATCAGTACGACTGGTCTTTCGACATAGTAGGACAATAAGTGGTGCATGCCGACGCCGTAAGACCGTTTAAACCATTTGCCGTATGCCCCCGGGGCTAGGAGGATAAGCCGGCGGATTCAGGGTTCGGGTTCGGGGCGAGGCGCCAGTAGAAGAACTAAGCTGCCCGAGAGGCATAGTAACTTCAAGAACGAAGCCGAGATATCATGGTTTCCTCTGCACAATAAAATACTCACTGATGTTGCCTAACGGGTTCAGATCCATGCTGACCGTCCCAAACAGGCCATCGACGAGCTTCAGACTCGATAGAGACCAGGCGAGAGGATGGCTCCGTTCCGTGATATTCGCGTCGGAAACTGTGCTGCTTAATCATCCCGAGGCGCACGCTGGTTGGCCCGTCAGGTGACTGCCGATGGCTACTCCCAAGGCAATTATCATCCCGAGAAGCGCAGCCGCGAAAAAGAAAGCTGTTCTCCCATCAACACCCCAAATACCTCCCCCATCTTCTTCCGCATAACCTCACGTCGGAGGATACTCTTGTTCTTGTCACCCCTCTCTCCCCGACAAGACTTTTTTTGATCCCTCTCCTCTCCTTTCTTCAAAATACCTCAGTCACCATGTTCAAGCTTGCCCGCAGCAAACCGGTTACGGCAGCTTTGAGGGCTGCGACGGTAAGCATCCCTGGGCCCTTTTGTCCTTACCTCCTGCCAAATCTTCTAAAGGCTGATCGGCGTGCTAACATCTCCGTTGTTGACAGGAATCTTCCGTCCAGTCCCGTGTTGCTCAGCAAAAGAGAAACCTGTCGATCCACGAATACCTGTCTGCGAACCTGCTCAAGTCGGTGCGTCGGGCACCCAAAATTCTGCTGTAAAATTTCGCCTTGCAATTATCACTAATACGATACTACAGTATGGCGTCGGCATGCCCAAGGGTGAAGTCGCCCGCTCCGCGGAGGAGGCTGAGGCCGTTGCCAAGTCCCTCGGTACGTTTTTGTGATCCGCCATGCTCCAACCCAACAGTCGCGACGGCTACTAAGACGGGGACGTTATAGGTAATGACGACATGGTCATCAAGGCCCAGGTCCTTGCCGGTGGTCGTGGTAAGGGTACTTTCGACAATGGCCTTAAGGGTGGTGTGCGCGTGATCTACTCGTGAGTGTGACCCGCGTTATTCCGAGTCTTCCCTTGCGCTGATATTCATAAAATTTTAGGCCTACCGAGGCCAAGATGTTCGCTAGCCAGATGATCGGACAGAAGCTCATCACGAAGCAGACTGGCGCTGCTGGTCGTCTTTGCAACTCTGTCTACATCTGTGAGCGCAAGTTCGCTCGCCGCGAGTTCTACCTTGCTGTCCTCATGGACCGCGCCTCTCAGAGCCCCGTCATTGTCGCCTCGTCGCAGGGTGGTATGGACATTGAGGCCGTCGCCAAGGAGAACCCCGAGGCCATCATCACCACTCCTATTGACATCAAGGTCGGTGTGACCGATGCCATTGCTCACAAGATCGCCACCGAGCTCGGCTTCTCCGAGCAGTGCGTCGAGGAGGCCAAGGACACCATCCAGAAGCTCTACAAGGTCTTCATCGAGAAGGATGCTACCCAGATCGAGATCAACCCTCTGTCTGAGACCTCCGACCACAAGGTCATGGCCATGGATGCCAAGCTTGGCTTCGATGAAAACGCCGAATTCCGCCAGAAGGAGGTCTTCTCCTGGAGAGACACCACCCAGGAAGACGCCGATGAGGTCAAGGCTGCCGAGTAAGATCTTCCTGGCTCTTTCAATCACAACGTTCGAAAGCATTCTAATCTACGGCATAGGCACGGTCTGAACTTCATCAAGCTTGACGGTGACATTGGATGCCTGGGTATGGGTCCATCAAAATCGATTGATATGAATTATGCTAACGGTCCGCCATAGTTAACGGTGCTGGTCTTGCCATGGCCACCATGGATATCATCAAGCTCAACGGCGGTGCGCCCGCCAACTTCCTCGATGTCGGTGGTGGTGCCACTCCCGCTGCCATCAAGTCCGCTTTCGAGCTCATCACCAGCGACCCCAAGGTGACTGCCATCTTCGTCAACATCTTCGGCGGTATCGTCCGCTGCGATGCTATTGCCCAGGGTTTGATCAACGTCGTGCAGGAGATGGGTCTGCGCACTCCCATCGTTGCCCGTCTGCAGGGTACCAACATGGAGCAGGCTCACAAGCTGGTATGTTCTTACCATTTATTGGGGGATCAGCGTAACAAAATCACAAGCTAACTGACGTGTATTGCAGATCAACGAGTCTGGCCTCAAGATCTTCTCCATTGAGGATCTCCAGAGCGCTGCTGAGAAGTCTGTCCAGTTCTCCAAGGTCGTCAAGATGGCCCGCGAGATCGACGTTGGCGTTGAGTTCACCCTTGGTATCTAATCTCCGAGTCGGATTTGGATTTATAGATGTGTCACCTTGTCTACTGCTCCACTGTCTCTTGTACTCTTTTTATTTTTCCTTTTATTTTCCTTACTTCCCTCTTGGTTTCCCCCACTCCGATGGCCGGGGATTCAGAAGGTTCATGCGTGTTCGATGGTGCAGCGAGATGCGGAGCAATAGGCCGACGGTTGGTGACCATGGGCTTCGTCGACGATGCTAACGCACTCCTGCTGCCTAGAATAAGATCGGTCATAGGGGTTGTCACAAACGAGTTGCTATAATGGTGAAATGAGACGGATTCAGGCAGAGAGAGAGCACGAGGGGTATCTTTATAGAGAGCATTTGATGGTCCTGTATATCGTCCATTTCTAGGTTCATTTTCTTATGTCAAATGTATTTTCCCTTTTTCTGTGCCCCCTTTGGTGTCGTTGGGTGATAATACCCCTCACGCTGCTAGAAGCGCCAGATCGGTAGACTCTGGAGGATGTACGTCCTTGAACCGCCACACTTTCACATCAATCTCGTGGAGCAGGAGAATGAATTCCCTATCGCCGCGGAGAGTGAAGAGGTTCGAGTAAATGCAGTCCGAGGCTTCTCGGGGCAGCCCGAGACTCATAGATTTGGCCGGGCGATGAGGGATTCGGGACGCTGGGTTGAAGATCCAGATAGCCGGTTTCCCCCTATCGCTCTTCACATAGTAGAGAAGACCGCCGTCCAGCACGGTCATGCAAAAGGGGAAGTAAGGTGTGCATTCTTCCTGGAGCAATGTGTGCATGTGGATTTTGTCCCGCTGCGGGTCGTATGAAACTACAAGGACATGGTGCAAGTTGGACGCTGTCGTTGTCGACGACGGCGTATTGAGTTGAGACGGCGGTTTGCAGATAAAGACAGCCAAGTTGCTAGCAGAACTGTTTGATATATCCGCAATGCTCCAGTCAGATTGAATAGGGGACGGTAAGTGTAGTGTATAGGGGGGAAGTGGACTGGTGATGCGTCCGTGGTCATCAAAGGTGTGTTTTACGACACGTAGTCTGTCCCAAGGCGAATGGTGAGTGTTCATGGGATCATCTCCTTTTTCGAGGACGAGAGTAGTCACGCTGTTGGTGCTGGGTTGCAGGCCTATCAATGCCAGGTGGGAAGTTACATCGATGGTACGAGCGGCTCGCGAGCCCATGTCCCAGTAATAGATCTTGCTCTCCTCGTCACCAGCTGGAGAACAATAACTGATACTCAGAGCAACCTTGAGACCACTAACAATGAAGATCCGAAAGCTGAAAGCGGGGATGCGGAACGAGGCGTGTTCTTCCGTCTCGAGGTTCCAGGCGTGGCAGTATCTAGACTCGGGATGAGCTGGGTGTCTAAAGTGTTCCTTTCTCGGCGAAACCACGACAAGATATAGTGTATCTTATGTGTACTTACGCACGCGCGCTGATTGCGACCACCATGGAATCGGAGAGACGCAAATCCCAGAAAGAATCTCGATTCTCCGTGCAGAAACGCTGGGTGGAGCGCTTGCAGAGATCGTGCACGACGACATGGGTGCCGTTGTCTAGCCAAGCACACCTTCCATTGGCGTAATCCAAGCATTCAAGCTTTGAGCCATCTGTCGGAAAGAGGTTGGAGGCCTGGAGATTGCAGATGGGTAGACCACGCTCCAGCCGGATTCTATACTTGGCATATTGGGTGAAGTGGTCAGCTGGGACATGTTCTGCTGCGAGCACATGCCCTGTGTATTGCTGGTATACAGCACCCTGGATCAATTCTGACGAGAGTAGCTGGTGCCACTTTCTAGAGACCTGGTGGAATGTGGCTTGAACTCAGTCTCGGGAGTCATAGGGGTGGCTGGTCATCTTTCCAAGGCCACGGGGGGGGGGGGGGGGATGGCAACATACTCTATGAAGGATATGGAGGTCAGAAAGGTCGAGATACTGAGCGATTTGAACTGCGATTTCTGGGGGGGATTCCGCTAGAAGATCCATTTGAAAGGAGCGCTGATTGGTACGCTTTTGTACATCGCGCCATTCATGGGGGTTCAATAGGTCTAGAATGCGATGATACCTGTCGGGAAGGGCTGCATGAGCTTAAGCTAAGATGGAGGTTTTTGAAGGGGGAAAGAGGGGAAAGGAAGATCATCAATGCCGGATGGATGGACAGTCATACGCATCCTGTCGAGCTGAGCTCGTATTCAGATGAGTGAAGAGGGTGATGATTTGCTGTATAGAAGCGGCATCGGCGGCCATGGCTGACGGCCAGTCGACGCTATTCTAAGACGAGGTCTCAGAGTCTCAACTACGGAGAGGTTGATAGATGGATAGTAGTTTGGATAGTTTAGACAGTCTGGGTCTGGTGGGTGGATGGTACTAGTAGAGGAAAGGGAAGTCCGATAGTTAACTAGTTAGTAGGGAGTAGAGTAGTTAAGGCGAGCCGTCCTGCAGGGTCTAGAGCTGCTCAGACAAGGCAGGCACGCAGGCAGGCACTCTTCTCATCTTTTATCACTAGTACAGTACACATTGTGAAGAAGGAAGAGTTTCTGTTTTTGGTCAATTTTTGGATCTCTTTAGTTTTCTCGCACTATTTATTATTTCGAGAATTTGGCCAAGTGCCAATCTAGAAACACCGACAACTTTTTTTAGTGAGTACTAAAGTACTCCGTAGCACTGACTGCATTCTTGATCCATCCACCAATAAATACTATGCAAAGCACGACTTTAATTTTTTTTTTTTTTTTTTTTTTAGTTTCGTTCCCTCTCCCTCTTCTTCCCCTCCTCCTTCTTTCTACTTCCTCTCCCAGACTTTGGGAAGGGCTTACGTCGATCGGAAAGTTGACGAGGGGAAAAACAGGAAACGCTGGGTCATCGATCTACGGCGCAGCCCCAGCAGGCGATCGGAAGGCGAAAAAGCCAAAAGCAACAGGAAGGATGGAAGGAAGGGAACAAGTTAGTTTTTTGGGAATGGATGGACCAATGAAGAGCACGGCGATGCTTCGGGAAGCGGAGACACTTTTTTTTTGACTGGCGATGATCCTCAACTTCCAGTCTGGCCCAGACTCTTCTTGGTTCATCATCATCAGTACTAGAACTACCATTCCATCTCCATCCTGCAATTTTACTACTACCACTACCACTACCACTACCACTACCACTACCAGTACTAAGTACTAAGTACTAAGTTAACTGAACTAGAACTGGACTCAAACTGTTTATTTAGTTCTTCATTCTTTTCTTCTTGTTTTTCCTTCCAAGCTTCTTCTCTCCACCAATTCTTCTTCATCTTCATCTTCCTCCCCCAATCCATTCCCCATTCTTATCTTCCAACCCATCCACAACTTAAGGTACTACCAAGTACTCCTAAACCTACTACTTACTACTTACTCTTTGGGGATTGCTGCTGGTTACTCTTCTTGCGGGAAAGAGAAAAGAACCCTGGCAGGCTTTCCCCCCCCCCCCCCCAATCAATCAATCTATCTATCTATTCTTATACCTATTATCATTCATTCAATTTTCTTCCCCTCTACTTCCTACTATTATTCAACGAATTTCCCCATCTTTAATATAATTATTTTCTCGATTGTTATTTTTAGTTGATTGCATTATTCCCCTTCATTAATTTACTTAATTCCTTTCGCCCTGAAGAAACTCTCTGTCTTGGCCTACTTCTTTTCTAAGGCTCAAAAAAGTAAAGGGCAGAAAAGGAATTAAGTACTTTTTCACTTTACGCGAATCCCGTCGTCTACTCTCTTCTCTCTGCCTCGCTCTCTTTTCTCTCTCTCTCTCTCTCTCTCTCTTCTCTTCTCTCTTTCTCTCCGTCTGCTGCGGCTCCCTCCTCGGCCGCCCCATTCTCATTCCTTTTCTTTTCCCTCCTCTTCTCTTCCTCTCTTTCCCCCCCTCCCTCCCTCCCTCCTCTTCCTGCTTCTCCTCCTCCCTCCCCCCTCCCCCCTGTTCCGCCGCGCGAGATGAGCGGTCTCGCCGATCCCCCGTCCAGAAGTCCGCTTATCCTCACTGCTATCGATGCGCCCGGCAAAACCCGCAAGATTCCTGTCCTTGCCTCCTCCGTTCCTCCCTCCAGCCAGTCCACCGGTGATCCCATGGAGGTTACTCCTCCTGCCTCGGGCGCTGCGCCCCCCATCCATAGCAGTCCCGATAGCGATCGGGCGGGCGCAAGCAACACCACCGCCACCTCCAATGGCTCTACTGAACCTTCCAATGTGAACCACCATGCCGCTCCCACTCAAGCCATCGGTGCGGCGGCGGCTGCTCAGCAGCCAAAGGTCGTTCAGACGGCCTTTATTCACAAGCTCTACAAGTACGTCGGGGGCCATTCTTGTCGTTCATTCTTCCGTTTTATTGCTTCCTTTCGAATACCTCACCCGTTCCCCTTACCCTTCACGGTAACGGGCTCGAGCTAACAACACTGTATAGTATGCTAGAGGATCCCAGTATTCAGCACCTCATCTCGTGGTCGAGTACGAATGACAGCTTCGTCATGTCCCCGACTTCCGAATTCTCCAAAGTCCTGGCGTTAGTCTTCCCCTATCGTAGCCTATCGCGCTCTGTGGGAACTAGCTGCTAATGAACAACTCAGTCAATACTTCAAGCACACCAACATCTCGTCCTTCGTCAGGCAGCTGAATATGTACGGATTTCATAAAGGTATGCGGGCTGAGACAGCAAATAGCATTGCCCCGACCGTTATTGATACACATGGATCCCAGTGAGCGATGTATTCCACACCGGTTCGCCAGACTCCGCTCTGTGGGAGTTTAAACATGGGAATGGCAACTTCAAGCGCGGAGATCTTGTGGGATTGCGAGAGATCAAGCGGCGCGCATCCCGTCATGCATTGATCCATCGCGACTCATTTCCTGGTCACAAGGCCGCCGCCTCCCAGCCCGGCACCCCCGCTGAGCCAGTTCCCGATGTCACCGAGTCCCGTTTGATGAATCTAGAACACTCCATGTATGACTTGCATGCTCGTCTAAGGAACGCCGAAGAAGGAAATGCGACCCTTAATGCAAGATGTCAATCCATGGCCGAGAGCTTAACCAGGTGTTATCACGTAAGTTAACGGGCCTCCAATGCGATCGCAACATCTAGTGGTTTTGGTTTGCTGATTTTTCTCGTCGTCCAGTGGACTCACTCAATTTCACGTTTCCTCCAAGGCATGATCCCCGATCGCGAGAGCCTTCTGTATCGAGACGGTGAGGCCCATCCACCATTGATATCCTCAACTGCAGGATTGACTAACGAGTCTGGTGTAGTGGCCTCCATGCAGGCGGAATTGGAGAAGCACCTTGAGGCTGTGCGGGCCCTGGAGCATCCTCCGGACCCATATTTGGCTGTCCGACAACCCTACGTCACCGGCATTTCTGGCGATGCAGGTCCGCCGCTGTCGCCGCGCCAAATGCCCCCGGAAGAGAGTCGCCGCCCATCGATGCTGGACCCCTCGAGGGCCGGTATGATTCGGCCCCCTGTCCCCCCTCATCTGGCCGTCTCTCCGCGGCGGTACGGGTCAATTGGCGCTGGAAATTCTTCCCCCAGCTACAACCGTCCGCAAGTGCCAGCGGTCGTCACTCCGCAGCAACCCATGCCTCATCCTCTTTCGTCCGTATCCTCTCCGCCTGGGCCTAATCTTGCGCGCCGACACACTTCGGCGGACATCAGACAGCATGGTTGGCCGCCACCGGGAGTGTCGCCATTCCCTTCCGCACACCCCCCGCAGCCAACGAACCCCTGGTCTCCCTCTCGACACCGGACTCCGACGTCAAGTGAGCAATCGGTCCGAGATGTGTTAGCCCAGTATGAAATGGGTGCACCGCGGCGTCTGCAGGAACATCGACACCCAACTCCCCCTTTGCACCCCGATCAGAATCCCCCAACCGATAACGGCTGGTCTTTAGGACCTAGATTCCCTCGACACGAATCATCCTTGCCAGCAACTCGACGTTCCAGCATGGCCAGCAATGTTCATTCGCTTCTGAACCCGGCTGATACCGCTGAACGGCCGGACGAAGACCAGCATGCTATGGCCGACGATCGGAAACGGAAGCGATTGGAATAAATTCAACTTCATCATTATTACTTGCTTCATTCATATCCTTGATCCGGGGATTCTCGCAGGAGCATTGCTTGGCGCTGATATTCGGGACCCTACCGGAATCGGAGCTATAGACTTCTTGTTCTTCGGGGCGCACGTTTTTTTATATTTGGAAAGGGGTAAAGGAAAAGCATATCACCAGGAGAAACTCACTCTCAGCCTTCATTTCTGGACTGGTACTGCATCTTGTGGAGTATTGCCCATCTGTACTTTCTGTGTTTATCTTCTTTCTGGGTGGGAACATCTACTGTACAATTGACACAACATACATGGATTCCAGCATGTGGAACCCGTGCTTACCGGGCATGGTTTGGACGGCACTAATCTGTTTTCTTCTTTTATATTTCTTGGACAGCATTGCTTTCTGATGGTGGAAGGCCCTTGCACAGAGAACCGTTCTCGGGCTGCTCCGCCTTCCTGTTGTTATATTATATACCCTGGGTTTGGGGTGGTGGTGCACGATATTGTGTGGGTATAGTAATCTAGATTTGCAGAGGACATAGTGATATCCGGCTGCAGGCGCACAATCAATGAGTCTTTTATTGGATCTGATGAACAACTCTTGACGTATTCACAAATAACTGTACACAGTGAATTAAATGGGTATATTCATTTCCTTGAGGTTATACATCTGATTATATCGTAGACTGGGCTCCGTTAAGGTGAGGTGAGAGGGTGTCACGAATATCCTTGTTTACCTCTTCTTTCTCTTCTTCGACCGCTCAGCCAAGATCTCATCCAAGAAGCTCGTTCCCTTCTTTCTCCCCCTAGCGGGCCGTGATGAAGCTCCCGGTTGCTTGTCCAACTGATCGGCTTTGCCTTCAATGCCATCACCGACATCACTCGTCTGCCTTAATTCTCCAGATTCACCTCCAACCGTCTCGGATTCCGTCTGAGCTTGCGGTTCAGGCGCCTTGCGCTTTTTCGCTGACATAGCTTTCTTCTTCTCTATCGCCGCCGTCCGTCCCTCTTCCTCGTCATCATCATCCTCTTCTTCCGTTTTCGCCACCCCATTCTTAGTGGGATTTGATGACGAAGCAGCAGCATCGTTACTGCCTCCCTTCGCAGTCGAAGCCTTCTTCGCAGCCATAACCTTCTGGTAATTCCTGCCCAGGAGCTGTTTCCGTAATTTGTCATTCGAATCCAATTCAGTCCGATTCCAACTTCCGTCTACGGCTTTAGTAGGCAGTGGTGCACCGACTCCTAATCTATACATTGGATCCATTGTTAGTTATAATATTTCTATCAATTGTTGCATTTTCTCTTCGAAACCCTCCTCTACCCTCGGAAGATACTCCAGAGAAAGTAAAGAAAGCATAGATAGATAGAAAGAAAACGAAAGAGTAACATACGTCTCCGGAACCGCCGTGAAAATCTCATCCTCTTCTCGCTGTAATTCCTCTTCGGTTTTCTTGCTGTTCGCTTGGTCGTCTGTGGTCGGTGCAGGTAGCCATGAGGCAACGAGACGCTGGCTTCGAGCTAGCGCTACGTTGGCCTTATTTAGGATAATGTCTGTTTCTGATTTTGATGTTGACATTGTGTCTGCTTTTGTATATTTTTGTTATTGGGGTTTTCGTTCGGTGGTTTGATTGCTCGATATGGATGGAACTTTTTGCGATAGCGAGGCGGGATTCGGGGGCAGAATTTTGGGCGGTGGAGTGCGGGACTGCTTGTTTGGGAGGGGATAGGTATTAGAGGTAGTATATTATTGATGGGGGTTGTGATATTGGTTATATCGGGAGAATAATTCTATCTGGTAGGTAAGTAGTATATGATGGTTAGATTTCGTCAATTGGACGACTACTTACAATTCCATGTGAATGTCTACTGGCTTTAGGATCATTATGCTTCCCTGTCACCTGCATATATAATCTCAGCACCACCATGGCGGAGCAATATATACATTCTCTACATCTAAACAGCAGTAGTATAGTCTATGTACAAATCTAGTCCAAACACCAAGCTAATCCACATTAATCGTCACACAAGGGTATTCGTAGTAGAGAAGAGAAAAATGCCACAAAGCAGAAAGAAATGGACCGGGCATCATTTCACGCCGATTCCTGCTGATGCCGTTGCTTCAGTTTCTTCTCCGTCTTCATGAACTCTCGAATCCCCACAGGGATACTCGCAAACAAGTCATCGTCCGAAGAAGGCGTCGACCAATTGGCCTCACTGCCACCACCATCGTCATCCATGCTCATGCTGGCTGAGTGGACTTCTGCCCGTGGGGTATGCCGCATATCCGAGGCATCACTTTTGGTCGCACCCTTCGCCTTGGCTTGTTCAAGCCTGAAGGCCCAGTCCTCCAGCTCGTCTCGGAAATCGTCCCATACGCAGTGGACACAGCCACTCATGCAGCAATTGTCGGGCTCCTCCGGTCGAGGAGGGATGGCCACCCCGTTTATGGTTTTCCAAGTCGTATCCGGTGCGGAGCCCGGATCGTAGCGTGAGGACCGGCCGGGACCAGCTAACCGAGTGCCGAAGACAATGGCCATCTTTTCCTGTGGTGTTTGCGCCTCTGGCTTGGGATCTTCAGTCTTGGTATCGGTTGTCGCGTGGTGTCGGTAGGGTGAGCGAGTGGACAAAATATCGTAGTAATAGCCCGATAGTGGATGCGCTTGACGGGATTTGGAGTCATTCAAACTGCCCGCCTGTGTGTCTTGAACGGTGGCATATCTGCGGGTGCTGGAGCGCCGAATGAATGGGGTGACGGCACGTGGTCGGGTCAAGCGAGATGCATCGGGTATGCGCGAACCGGAAAGACAGACATGACAACGTCTGAGGAGGGGCGAACGAATCGCCAGACAAGGAGCGTCCATGGTGAAGTTGGAGTTGCGACAAGAAGAAGAGGAAGATCGGAAAGAGATGGCAGAAGATGAGAAAGCGGCGGTTATGTCATAATCCCGAGGCTGCAAACAGTGCAAACCGGCAAAGCAGTGGATGTTGTTGTTGATGTTTGGAGATAACGCTTCCCACGGACGCTGCTCTATCCCCTCTGCGGAGGTTGTCTTTTCTTGAATTCGCATGGACGGCTGATTAGGTGTTTTGTCTTCACCTCTTCACGAGCCGTTACACAAGCGACCCCGACCGCGACCTTCGTCAGCGCGTCGCAAATGAACGACCCCGCGCCTTCTCAGGATGACCCCCAGCAGCGCACCAGTCAACGGATGTCCTACCAAGCTCCCACTAGAGCGAGCTTAGCCAGATCGCATCCCACCCTTCTCGAGACTGAGAATAATAAGTCCCCGGCGAAAACCATGCAGAAACCGAATCAAGCCCGAACAAGAGCGCTCGGTCTACGAGACCGCAAGGCCCTGAGACCGTCCTTGACCTCGACTGCTAGCCCTCTGGGCTCCCTCAAGGGTAGCAAACAGTCGCCTGCATCATCCCTTTCTGGCCGTCGCTCTAGCGGTCTGGCTGCTTTTGCGGCGCCTCCAAGGCGAGTCTCAACAAGAATTACTGCCTCCGATCTCGTGTTCCGGTCTCCATCTGCATCCCAACAGAGTACAGAAAAATTACCACCACCTACCGATACCCCGGAAAACCAATTGGCGTCGGAACTGGACAGCGCGACCGGTGATATAGATGCGAATGAGGCTTTACCACAACCGTCATTCCAGGACATCCTAGACGAGCCAGACCTGCCACCGACGCCGACCCAGTTGGGCCTGGAACGGCCTCCAGGGCGGCCAAAAGGACTTCTAAGCAGTAGCCCGAGCTCGCAACAGGGAAAGTGGGGGAAAAGAAGGAATACAGATGGTCGAGAACAAAGCCCGTCAAAGCTGAGGAAAGTCGACTATGGCGAGGCAGGAGAATCTGCGGATTCAGGCCTCTTGTTGGATCGGACTTCCTTACCGGAGGAGATCTTGACGAAGCGCAAATTGAAGAACAAACTCGCTTCTGAACTACAGCAATTGAGGACCGAAATCTCGGAACTGGAGACGTGGTCGAAAGACCTGGCGCAAGATGAAGCCGGTGATGAGCGAGATTTGACCGGGTTAATGTGAGTTGCACACGCTTGTCCCGCCGTCAATGACTTGCCACTGACCGGCCAACAGTACTTTGTTAACAGCAACGAATCCTCCTCAATCGACTCCAACGGCCTCAGGGGAAACCTCCATATCGTCTCTCATCTCTTCATTACTCCCTTTTGCCACCAAGGGACCCCCGAAAGCCCCGCCCGAGGCCCCTCCAGTGAATCCATTTGCGCTTGGAGAGCATGCGCAAACAGAAGCATATCTAACAGCCCTTGCGCCGTTACAGCTTACGGCGTACTATGAAACCATACCTAATTCCACCCCCAACCTTGTCTTAGAGAGACATACTCTCCAGTTTTCCGCCCCGCCTCCCTTCCCTTCCAACCGCTACAAAGTATCTGTAACCTGCGACGTCAACCCAGAAACACAAAGCTTGGCATCCATATCATTTGCTTCACAGGCGAATGGAGAAGATACAAGGACCCCAGAGGATCTACGGCGTTGGATCGACACCAGGCTTGCCAATCCATTGCTTAAGCTAGATGTCACAGGTCTGTGCTGGGGCATTAACCGATACTGGGAGGCCATGGTATCGCGTGCTGAGTTATGGTTACATATGGAGGAGCAACATGCAAAATTAATCAGTGGACATGCAAAACGGGACCATGTGACTAAATCGAAGAGCGCAAGCTCGCAACCCCTTGGCATGTCAGAACTGCGTCAAATTCTCCCGCACCTCGAGCGCACGTCTATGCTCTTCGAATCCAAGAGCGGCTCACTGAAAGTTCTTGTGTCATGCCAATTAACACTGGACGAGTGGACAAGTGAGCCACAACTAGCACCGGGACTCAGCGTTTCTCTATTATCCGAGTCCGACAGCGGCTCCAGGCGCAAGGTGGATCAGGAATCCAAACGCCTGTTCCAATCCATCTTGAATCCGAACGAGAACAACCAAGCTGGAAGTAGCGGCAGCGGAGTCTCTGCTAGCACAATTCTAAGAGCTACAGACTGCGTCTTGCGCGCTTTGCTCAGTACTAACTCTAAGAAATGAATACCCGGATCATATATGACATAATCAAGTGCTAGATTAGTTGGAATAGACGGATGTCAACGGCGTTTTCCTCAATTTGGATGGGATGGGAAGCGATAGGGGGTTGTCGACGTCGGCGTCGTCGGCGAATTAGTTCAGCGGTCTTTGTCAATTTATCGAATCCTTCGGGTTTACTTTCTTTTCATGTAATATATACGCTCCTGACCTGGCCTCTCATGCCCGGTGAATTCATTGGATATGGATCTTGTATTGGATGGCACTAACTTTGTATCTACCTGGGTGGCTTGCGGAGGAAGTGTGTGAGATCTAGGTTGTGGCAGCTGGCTGATAGTATAAAACACGATAGTAAGTCCATTGATAATGTATGACCATAAGATTATATGCAAGGATCTTATCAGACAAGCTAGGCTGCATAACAGTTATCCACATACAGTTAAAATTCATGTCGAAACTACGAACTAACATCTACAAGATACCGAGGTGGTCACATAGAATATACTCCGTATATCATCGCATTTGTACACTAGCTTGCTCCGTGCCTCTGCGTGCTTCAAGTCTACCGTTTCCAAGTGGGGGTATTTGTTGAGGTGAACCCGAAGCCTGAGGCTCGGTTCCCGCGTCCTTCGGTAGATAGATCGAATGGGCAAAATCGTCCGGAAGGAACAATAAAGATAAAGACGACAAAAAAAGGAGGTTGGGGTCTTCACTTCATTCGCGTTAGGGTGGGAGCTAGTAGCTTTTCTGGGAGACATGAAAATTTGGGACATTTGCATTTCGAGGGGGTTTCGGAGCTTTTTATGTTAAGGACAAAGGTGAAAACGGAAAATAGAGGAGCGACGCCATGCCACACAAGGTACTAATCCCCGACTTGAAAATTGACCCGATCATCATTAGCTGTGATTCAAGATATCTATTTCTTGGCGGCAGACTCCTCATCAGCCTTGGCCTTAGCACGCTTCTCCCGGATACCCTTGTAGCGAGCCTCGCTGCGGGCCTCACGCAGCCGGCGGTAAGCAGCCTCCTCACCCTTGGGGAGGTCGTCACGCTTGACCTCGGTGACGGCCTCAGCGAGAGTGGCGTTCTTGATGGGGAGGGCACCACCGACACGGGTGGCGAAGCCCTCGGTCTTGCCCTCGGCGAAAGCAGCCTTGGCAGCGTTGACCTCCTCAGCGGAAGAGTCAAGCTTCTTGAACTGACCGCTCTTGCGGGGGAAGAGGATCAGGCGAGCCTTGTAGTCCTGGAGGCGAGCAACATTGGCGACGAGCGACTCCTTGGAGTAGTTGACACGGCGGTGGTCAACGGCGATACCGACGGTGCGAGCGAGCTTCTTGGGGATACCAGCTTCCTATAGTGCGAGAAAAAATAATCGTGTAAGCCTCCGTCCAAATATTCGTCCTGCCCAGTCGCCAGGGCTGATTTCCAAGCGCCATCACCAGAATCTTCTTTCTGATGACATTGTCTTGCACACAAGGGACGAATTTACCTTCAGCTCAGCAAGGGTGAAACCACGGCCAGCACGGACACGGCGGTTGTACTTGACGGTAGGGCAGCGCACAACGGGGCGCAGCTGGTCAACCGGACGAGGAGCAACAGCGGCGGCCTTAGCGAGACGGGCCTCACGACGGCGGTGCTTGCGGCCAGGCTATTGAAGCAAAAAAAACACATGTCAGTCCACCACGCATATAGGAAAAAATTTTCCCATCCCGTATTCTTTTCCAAATAGGCGAGTCGCTCGTTGTAGATAGGAATCGGTTGGGTAAAAGGATTTTATTTTCGAGAGCGTACCTGGTCGAAGTGCACGCGGACACGACGCTGCCAGTCCTTGTGGAAGTCTGAAATCGAAACCCATCAGTCCATATTATTCCAGCCGCCCAGTTGAAACCCGATATATTGAACAATATCCACCATCGTATCCTTCCTCGAGTAGGTTCACTCACGCTGGTTGAGAATCTGGTTGTTGTGCTTGATCGCCTATATCCACCAAGAGGTCCCAGGTCAGCACATGAAGTCCTTTGCGAGAAAATAGCGTCCGATCATCGATTTGACAATCTAGCGACGCCATTTGAACAATATTGGATAGAATAACGCACCATTGTGACGGATGGGGATCAAGGCCGGGAGATTGTCGTCGTCGTCGTGGGTGGTTGCTGGTCGTATCTCAAAACTCCTCGTCTCACTATTAGGTGGAACTTTTTTTGGTGTGGCCAACCGCGCAGAGCCGCATCGCCTCGCTTAGCGAGCCCTACCCTGCTTACCCGTTTCGGAAGGTCACCCCCAGACTTTCTCTGTGGCAGAACGGTTCTTGGGATCTGGGACTGCCATCCAGACTCGACTAGGATAATTGGAGTCTTATGTTACATGTGTATCTACCTCAACTTTTATTCTCATTGCCTGGTGGTAGGCTCACTGGCTGCTGGAGTGTTGCGACTCAGGCTGTGCTTCTACTCTTTGCGACCGACCGCCCGTACTGTATTGTTCTTCCCTGGTACTAGTTACTTCCAGGTAAGTTCGTTGCCGTACACGCTTGTTACATCGTTACACGCGAGTAAGACCCATGTGACTTGGCGGTTCGACGAACTTGGAAGTTATCGGGAGGTCCCTCTGCAAGCCATCTACCAAAGCAGTATATGGAATTATTTGCTCGACCGATTGCAGATAATACATCAGTTAACAATATCTTATTCATGATGACATTATGTCCAAATCTGCCCAACTATTCGTATTGAAGCCATCAACATACTGAGAAACCATAGAGATACTCCTGTGTGATAAATCCCAGAACCAGTTGCCAATAAGTCGTAGTACCCTTAGAAAAAACACCCGGTGCCCCATCGGATTTTACAGTTCATCATTCGTCACAGACCCCCAGGAAGGGAAGAAAAGTACATAAGAAACAAAGTCAAGATCCAAGCAGCACCCGCTTTGAATAGCAAGCGTATCCAGCCATAACCAGCTTTGACCCGCAAAAGTGATATGCGACTAGAAGTCGTGGCGGTGAGGAAGTAGATAGTAGATAGACAGCTAGAAGCCCGGTATACGTGATACACACGCTCCATGGTTGTGCACGGGTCATGCTTATTTATTCCAGGTGTCAATGCCGAGACCCACCCTCTCCTCCGCTTTCATTTTCTTCGAAGACGCACCATCAAAACTCGCCTTGCGTTTAAGACCAGTCGATGGACGCTCAACACCTGATTTCCTCACTTGGCCAAACAATTTGGTCTGCAACAGTGTGCTGGACTTGGGTGCATTCGCGATGCCTCGGCTCTCACGACGGTTGCTGAAAGCGTGGGGACGAAGCATGCTGCTAGCAAGAGCTCCAGCCTCTGATGCTGGGACGTCTTCCTCCGTTTCAGCCTCCTCGATGTCGGACGCCGATATAGTGCTGTCTCGATCACGGTGGCTATCATGAGACTCCCTGCCCGGTGTGTTATATTGGTTCCCTCCAGAGGCCATCCGAGCACGAGACGGTGTTACGGGAACGGAGGCGAGTGTGTGGTTTCCACGCATCTGGCCATCATTATGCTGCTTATAAGTACGGTTCCGGTGTGGTGTGGATGTGACACTCGGTGATCCTCGATTGAGGACACGGTCGGCAGCAAGGAGTTGCGCAAACGGGTCATGGCTATCGCTACCGTTCATCTGATGGCCATCGTGCTCCACATAGTGAGGTACAGGCCTCCTCTGAGAAGCTTGCATTTCTCTCTGGGGGCTGGGTGACATTGGACCATGTTCAATCATCTGAGAGAAATGCTTCCGGTTATCTCTGATACGCTCTTTCAGCAACTTGTTCTCTTCCTCAAGAAGGTCTGACCTCTCCTTCTCTTGCTCAATTAGCTTCTTAGCCCGGCGCAGCCGCCGATCAAGTGTGGCATTTACTCTTCCCAGCTCTTGATTGCGCTTAAGGGCAAGCTCTAGCTCCACATTAGAAATCTGCTGCACTGCTTTGATTTCAGGTTGGCAATGACGGCTGCGATACTCAGAGCTCTGAATGATCTCGACCTCTCTTCTAGCGAGCTGATGCTCTACCTCGGCACGCTTGATAGCTTCGTTACTAGTAAACGATAGCAGACTATTTTGTAGCTTGAAGTGCAGAGCTGACATGCGAGCCTCTTGGGCAACACTCAACAGGTCTTTAGCCATTGCTCGGAGCTTCGACTCATCGGCGGTATCGAGATCATCGGCAGTAGGAAGGTTTTCTGAGGCGCCATAGGCAACACAGAGGGTCTTTTGCATATCGGGAGGAGAAGCTAGCAAGGAGCTCGAAGTAGATCTTGACCGTTGGCGCGGGGCTCCGGGAATTTGTGATGATGGCGGCGGCGTCATATCAGATGAAGGTAACGAGGGTGATAAAGATTTACTCTGGTCGGAATGTGATACTGGCAGTCCAGCGCCTACAATCAGGTCTGGGGATGCAGACAGACTTGCACGTTGCATGGGCGTTGCGGGGCCGGTGATCTCTGCAGGAGGGGCAAGGGAGCCTTGCGAGAGCTGAGAATCAGGATCTTGCGACATGACAGATATCAATATGTAGAAACAGGTAAGTAATACCCGTCGACAGGAATGTTTGACTAGAAGTAGGTCAGCATTGGCTGCATCAATGCGTTGTATTGAACAGTTGTCGTGGGGCGGTCAGACGCATACCAGATCCGAAACACGATCGATCAAAACTACGGCTAGTTTGATGAGCTCGCTAGGTAGAAGAAGTTGATTGTTTAAGCTCGGTTGCTGTGTAGAGCCCCTAAGGGCAGGAGCGGAAAGAAGAAGAGAGATATCCTAGAAGGAGCAAGACCACGATGAAATTGAGGATTGACTGCCACAAATCGGATGTCCTCGAGTCGCTCTATGATGGATAGCTGGGTCGGTGCGCTTATCACTGATAGGGCCGTTGAAGCACGTTGGTTGGACCGAAGCAAGGCACTTAATAGGCGATAAGGAGGCGGTAGCAGAGAGTCCCGAGCGGAAGACCTAAGATAGGGGAGTGATAGAAGACGGATGGAAGACGTTTCCAGAGAGCAAGGGGAATCGAAGAGGGGTATTGCAGATGATAGAGATAGGTGAACAAGATGAAGGAAGTAAGGAGCGCGCCGGCGGAGGGACGGTTTGATGCCTTAAGGATGTTTGTTGCGGGCGATGCGCATTTCGGGGAGGCTGGGAAGTCGCTTGCGATGCTCAGCCTCGACCAACCACGACCAACCACCCGCTCCCACGTGAGCCCAGCCGCGCGCTAATCCTTCACTTTGCCTGATCCAGCTAGCGTCCAGATCCGCGACACTCAGCAAAAGGTAAACACAAGCCGAACCCCATGGGCCACAGCTATCGTCACTCGGGCAACCGATGGCACTGGATTCATATTGATCCTGATTCAGTATTTAGATCTTCTTTCATAGGTTCAATGGTCTAGGTTCTATTAAACACGGCCCAACATGCTTAGTTTGCCAAGTGATTAGCAACATTCCTCCCATCTCAAATCTACTGTATGACTACTCAGTAGAGAACATTATGGGGCTGTGGAATGTACGCTGCCTATTCATTTTTCTGTTTCCCAGCTCTTCTCCTTTGATGGGAGATATGTATGATTTCGAAAATGCTGATCTTATATACTACAGTAGACGATCTCGACACAGAGGAATTACTCAACGCCCGGGGATTTGAATGGAAATGGTTGGTAGAAGATAGGGTTGCCCGTTATGTGAATGCCTGAGAGATCGGGAGTCGACGCCAGAATATGTGATTTTAGGCTAGGTAGATCGGGCCTGGGAATTGGTTCATCCATAAAACTGATGCGAAGCTATTGGAACAGTACGGTCTAGACTTGCAGACACCAGACATTCCACGTGAGTTACTTTGATGAAGTATGCTTCTAAAAAGTGCGAGTTTGGGCTTGAATGCCAACGCTATCAGGAGGGAACTTTATATAAGATGTACATATCACTATTTACATGCTTTTAGTACTTAGAGATCCAGACTTTGGTACTAGATAAGGCCTAAGCAAAGGTTTATTCGTAACCATGGCATATGGGACGCGGAGCCACTAGTACTTCCGTGTACTACTAGATAGAGTAAGGCTCCATATTTGACCATGACATACAGCTGGCTTCTTGCTAGTGACAGGTTCGTTTAGCGACAGGCTGAAGAAGCAGTGTCCACTATCTATTTATGGAGACTGGTCCTCATGGATGATAATGTCAGCGACTTGTCACATCTGTAACCATCTTGCCTGCCTGTAGCCCATACCAGTTGCACTATAGAGCTGCTATTGCTAGATAGTATATATGCAAGCTTTTTCTTCAAGCTGAAGGAGCAAAACATATTCCAAACCCCGTCCTGGGTCTCCTCCAGTTCCATCGGGACGATCACGCCGATGTGGGGAGCGGATCAGGGATCTGGCGGCCTCAGGCAGCAGCACATGCGGCGATTCCCCCTCGTGGGAAGTTGTAAACAATAATTCATTCCGGCCTCAAGTCCCTGAGGACAGCACTCCAGCAAGAATCATCGCTATTGCGCTCGCGTATCGCACCATCCCGGTCCTGTTACTCAAGCGTCCCACTGCCATATCCAATCGTCATGTCTCTCTACCTGTGAGCGAATTACACCAACTATAACTCTCACAATCCGCATCACCATACCTGGCACTTTCGTCCACAAGTGCTAAATCTCCATTTACAACCCACGGAAAGATGGATAACCCACAGAAGACCCCCAGCCGACCGAGTGGCATACCTCGCTTGGCCTCCAGATTACCTCTACCGACGTCTGCCGCCAATAAATCCCTGCATCCCTCCCCCTCACGCGAGAAGCTACAAACCGACCCAGGTCTCCATGCCAGTCGTTTGAGCAGACCTTCTCAGGAGCCCGTCTTCAAAAAGCCTCTACCGAAATATACGGTGCCAAAGAAGCCCTTAGGTACTCAGCGACAAGAAAGAGATATCTCTCAGACAAGGACAAGCGATGCGGGGGGAACAGAACCCGAAGGGGCACCAAACAACAAATCCGTTTATCTGGAGGCCGACTATGCACCGGCTCATGATGCAGAGCCTCGGGGTCGCACACGACCATCACTGTCCGAACGAACAATTGAGACTCTTTCCCAAATCCCTCCTTCGCCTAGACCGCAGAGCAGACAATCCAGTAGTTTCTTCGGCGCAACTAGTCCCATGCGCTCGCCGTCTCGTCCGCCGTCTGCAATGACAAGCTATTCAAGGTCGCCGTCAAGGTCATCTTCTCGCCAACCAAGTGGAACCGACTACCTTTCCCGTCCATCCTCGTCCATGCGTCTTCCGTCGAGGAGTGGTCCATCGTTTTCTGCGAACAGTGCAGCATCCGATCAAAGCTCCATTCCAAACACAGATAGTCCATCGAAACTGAAACCGCCTTCTACTAGGATAACACCCTACGGCCGGAAAAGCGACGTGACATCCGCTTCCAACTCTCGTCAAGCACCTACCAGGGTGTCTACGAGGCCCGCAGAACCTACTGTAGATGCTCCGCAGGAACGCCTCGAAGTGAAGAAAACCCGGAAGGTCCAGCAGAGTCTCTCGGCCCAGAGACCATCCTTGATGGGTACACGGTCACCATCGGCAAAATCCACTTCATCAGATCTTACTCCGGAACAGCAGACTGAGATGGAAACAAGAAAGGTCTCGAAATCATCTAGCGCTCTGAGGGAAAGTATCGCAAAGGCGAAAGCCGCGCGCAAGGCCGAGGCTCAGAAAGCCACGAAGCCGATGACTGCAGCCGATGGGTTCAATTTTGATACGGAAGATCCGTTCAACCAAGGTCCTAAGGATCCAAACCATGGACTTCTGCGAAAGCGCATTGATGCAGGTCGAACTTCCGGTCACTTGAATATCGCGGCTATGTCTCTTAAAGAATTGCCAAAAGAAGTCATGACAATGTACGACTTCGATACCAATTCCACCTCCGATTGGTATGAAAGTGTGGACCTTGTTAAGTTTATCGCTGCGGATAACGAATTCTCGGAGCTCCCCGATGATGCATTTCCCGATATCGATGCACACGAGCTAGACCCAGAAGTTGACGAAAAGGGAAATCAATTTGGCGGGCTCGAACTTTTAGACCTTCATGGCAATATTCTGCAATCGCTACCAATAGGCCTCAGAAGGCTGGAGCGGCTGCACACCCTGAACCTATCAAACAACAATCTCAGTATGGACGACATAAAGGTTGTTATGGACCTATCAACTCTCAGGGATCTGAGACTTGCCAGGAACAAGCTTCAAGGAGGTCTCACTCCGGATATCGGACGCCTTTGCAACCTGGAAGTACTGGAATTGCACGAGAACTCATTAACAGAGCTTCCTGGAGAGCTAGCAAAACTGGCTTCCCTCCGAGTCTTAAACGTGGGAAATAACCAGTTAAGCACTCTACCATTCGAAGAATTGCACATGCTCCCGCTCAAGGAGCTCCACGCCCCGAAAAACAAATTGAAGGGGACTCTCTTGCCAGCTTCTGTGCCAAAATTCGAGACACTACAAATCTTGGACGTAGCCAGCAACGCATTGGTGAGCCTCTCGGAGGACAATGGCCTCGAACTTCCCAATTTGCAGACTCTAGCAATCAACACGAACCGCATTCAATCTCTACCTGATGTTTCATCGTGGCAAGCTCTCCTGACCTTGTTAGCGGAAGATAACAGTTTATCAGAACTTCCTCACGGGTTCACTGACCTGAAAAATATCAGGAATGTGGACTTCACTGGTAACGATATTTCAAGACTGGACGAGAAGATCGGCTTGATGGAGAGTCTCGTCACCTTCCGCATAGCCAATAATCCCCTGCGGGAGCGCAAGTTTCTGAGCATGAACACGGAGGACCTGAAGCGCGATTTGCGTAACCGATGCGAACCGGAACCGCAAGATACAGACGACGAAGGTTCTGTTGCGACTCAGTTTACGTTGGCGCCAGAAACACCAGTCCAGACGGCCTCCTGGCAAATCAAGTCTGGTGGTGTCGTCGACAGGTCCTACACCGATCTGCGGGATGTAGAAGTACAGGAGTTGGAACGCATCGATTTCCCCGAAGTCCGATGCCTCCAATTACAACACAACGAGTTACAATGCTTCCCTGTTCCAGCGCTCAGCATGCTCGCATCTAACCTAGCCGACCTGGATCTTTCGAATAACCCGCTCAATACTGCATCTCTCTTCTCAGGGCCCCTTTCCCTTCCCTCTCTTCAGAATCTCACCATAACCGCCGCCGGCTTGACTACACTTGAGCCGCTACTAAATAGCCTTACTGCTCCAGGTCTCACCTACCTAGATGTCTCATCCAACCGCCTGTCCGGACCGCTTCCTGCCATGCGCCGGAGCTACCCGAACCTGACAACATTACTGGCTTCTGATAACCGAATCAGCAGTCTCGACTTTGAAGCTGTGCAGGGTCTGCAGGTTCTAGACGTAGGAAACAACGATATTGGCGTCCTGCCGCCGAAGCTCGGCCTGTTGAGGGCCGAAGGGTCTAGCAAGAACTGGGGCAACGGCTCGCCCTTGCGACGCTTCGAAGTGGCAGGAAACAGTTTTCGGGTTCCGCGTTGGCAGGTGGTAGCCAAGGGGACCGATGCGGTTCTCGAATGGCTCAAAGATCGTATCTCTGAAGATGAACTACGCGAGTGGGAATCGGGCGATGAATCGAACGATGAGTAAATCTGCAGCATAATGTGTGATTAGGTACAACTAAGATCGAGGAGATCTGCTTGGGAGGACACTTGATTTCGGCTTCTTGACTCATGTATATTATACCATCTAAAGCGCACATACATACAAAGCATTGGTATCTAATATCTCGCAACCTGATCGTGACTATGTACTCTCCCGGAAGACCTCACTGCTGCTACATGAACATATAACTCAAGAACCTATACTGGGGTTCAATTATGAAAGATGTTGCGCATGCCTATTCACTGCGTCGCACCGATAACAGACTTGCTAACTTGGTCCATGACCTTCAGCCAAGTCCTGGCCCAAGTGGTGAACTTGTCCTCCTTCTCTTGCGGCGCATCGGCAGAATCAGTCACATCCAAGGGAAGACTAGCTAGGTTGACGGCCTTGACGGCGCAATCCTTTGTCTTGCGCATGTATTCGAGAGATTTCTCTATGTTCGCCTCGTACAACGCGCCGGCTACCTCGTCAATATGGCCAGGAATCTGCTGCAGATACTTCATCAGGTTTTCCAACTTGCCGACGAGTGATGGCGAATCGGAAGTTTTCTTTAGTCGATTGGCCGTGATGGTGGGGTATATCTGGGAGACCGGTTTCAGGATCCGGAGAGCCGACTTCTTCTGCTCGTGAAGAGCTGCCGTATCCTCATCATCATCGTCATCATCCTCCTCATCGTCATCCTCATCGGCCTTGCCCTTCCCGTCATCGCTCAAAAGGTCATCGAAGAAATCATCGCCCTCCTCATCGGGATCCCACTCCTCAATCTCCTGGACCGCATCCCGTACAAGATCTCTCCATTCCTCCACACGTCGAACCACAAACCCGACCACACCCTTCGCTGCGATATCGATCAGGACATCGCAGGAGTCCCACAAGCGCCCGGCCGCCACCGTGACCGCATCCTTCTCTGACTGCGACAAGCCGGCTTCCTTCTTCTGGGCATCATCCGCCTTGTTCGCAACCGTCTGTACCTCCTGAAGTAGTACTGTCGTTTCTTTCAGTGCCGTTTGGGTCAAAGCATGCACTTCGGATTGGAACGCCTTGGTGTGATGGGCCGGGGTGACGAGGAGTGCTGCGGCGACCAGGGAGGGCAGCACAGACTCATTCAAGGCGTTGATAACACTTGTAACAGCGGAGGGGGTAAAGGGAGAAGTAATCGTGAGGAGCGAGAGCTTGGTGGCTTGCGATTTCAGGGTTGCCGACGCGGCGGAGAGGAGGGGTAAGGCATCTTTTGCGGAGAGGTCGGTGGAAGAGGAAATATCGCTGGAAGGGGAGGCAAGGGCACCCTGGAATTGTTCCAGGAGCGTCAAGCTCGTCGTCAAGGTGGATTGGAGTTTCTGCGACATTTTAATGCGGTTGCGCTGTTCGGATCGAGCCGGTTTGTTGACTGGCTTATTGGAAGGAAAGCGATGCGGATGGACTGGACGGGCGGAGAAAATTGTTGTTGCTGCGGGGCGCCTTCAACTTTCCTTCTGATTAGGGTTCTGCGGGGTCACCTGCGGCTGGTTGGTTTGTCCGCGGATGTACCTGATACTATATAGATTGATGTTGATGTCGGAAATGCTTTTCGTTGATTTAAGATATGACTATAGATATGCTTGCTTGCAGGTTACACTTTGAATTCTACATCGATTATACTACTACTAGTGATAGTAAAATTTGTGTGGGCGGCTTTTTACTTACTTCATTCAAAGGCTATAGCGCATAGCCCGCTAAAATATATAGCTAGTAGAAAACCTGCAATTTCCACCAACTGATGTTTTTGAATGTACTACCACACTACTAACTGACCAACCAGTGATACAAAGTTGAATAGGTTTATACAGAGGGGCTACAATCTTTTCTCATTTCATTATCCTCTTGCCCCTAGCCTTTATTGACTGAAGGCGTGTCAGTACTAACCATGGAGGAATATCCAACACACACCAACCACTACGATGATGAAAGCAACACGTTTGTCAGACATGGCAGGCACAATAGTAGACCTCACCAATGCAATACCAAGGCATTCTATGTGAACGTAGATATAAATATTGTACTCCATGAGCGACCAAAATCCATGCCCTAAGCCTGTGCCCTCATTTACCGATTTGGGAGCTCGACAGCTTGGCATCTCCGATCGCCGACCGAAAGCTCCGTCGCGGCCATCTTGGTTTTAGTCCTGTCTGCATTTCTCCATCTCCAGCAAGCCCCTCACCAATTATTTCCCGCGCATTTCACCTCTCTTATCAAAACCGTCCATGCCCCCTGCATCAACTCTAATGACCTAAACCCCTTTGCCAAAAATGGGCACCACCAAACCTCGCCCTTCCGGCCGGGCTTCCGTCGCCAAGGTCCAGTCTCTCCCCGACAAGACATTCGTCATCGATAATGGCGCATACACCCTGAAAGCCGGCTATGCGCCGGACTCTGCACCTCCAGAGGACCAATCGAAAGCGCTTGCAGCTTGCACCGAAATTCCAAATGCGATCGTCAAGACCCGTGGCAACAAGATCTACGTCGGCTCTCAGCTGAACACACATGTGACGGACTGGAACGAGATGATGTTTCGTCGTCCCGTTGAGAAGGGCTACATTGTGAACTGGGAGGCTCAGAAGGAGATTTGGGAGCACTCGTTTTTCGATGAGAAGACCGTGCGCAGTAAGGATTTGCGGATTACGGATCCCGAGGACACGACGTTGTTGTTGACGGAGGCGCCGAATGCATTGCCGGCGCTGCAGAAGAATGCAGATGAGATTGTCATGGAGGAGTGGGGGTTTGGAGGGTATCTTAGATGCGTTGGTAAGGATGCTAGGTGGTCGTACGTTGATCGCTTGGACAAGGTGATTGCTAACAGAGACGCGTATTGCATTTAGGACCATCGATGAACGCTTGGAATGATGTCCAGTCGCTGTTCGGGGATCCTATTGTGCAGGAGGCAAACACAACGGTGTCTCCAAAGGAATGCTTATTGGTGGTCGATTCGGGTTACTCTCACACCACCGTGACACCGATTTACAAAGGACAGCCGCTTCAACGTGCCATTCGCAGACTCGACCTTGGTGGCAAGCATCTTACGAACTACCTGAAGGAAATGGTTTCAGTACGGCAGTACAACATGGTGGACGAGACTTATATCATGAATGAGGTCAAGGAAGCTGTCTGCTTTGTTAGCAACAACTTCGTCGGCGACATGGAACAGACGTGGAAAGGCAACCGGAAACGCGGCCTGCCAGACCCCAGCGAGGGGGTGATGGTGGACTATGTCCTTCCTGATCCCAATGCAGGCAAGAAGGGCTTCATGCGACCGCATGATGCTCTCTTGAACGCCAAGAAAAGGAAAGGAGGTTTGTCGGGGGCCAGCGCGGAAGCACTGTCGGAAGACGCTCTGGTCTTGGGCAACGAGCGCTTCGCTGTTCCGGAGATCTTGTTCACTCCCAGCGACATTGGCATGAAGCAGGCTGGCATTCCGGATATTATCATGCAAAGTCTTTCTGTCTTGCCTACCGGATTGCATCCCGCGTTTCTGGCCAACGTTTTGGTCGTCGGTGGCAATGCGCTACTCCCAGGATTTGTGGACAGACTGTAAGTGTGGCCTTAATATTTTTTGGCGGACTGGTATCTTGTTGCTAACTGGGTGGCAGGGAGTCGGAATTGCGCCAACTGGCTTCCGCGGAATGCGCTGTCCGGGTGAAATGCCCGCAAGAGTAAGAGCTGCTGCCCTACTTACCGACTACTGTCTCTTCGAACTACGAGCTGATGATCGCAATCTTTCTCTTCACAGTCCGATTCGCTCCGCCTGGTTGGGGGCGTCCCGATTTGCTACTAATAAAGACGAACTCCGGAAAGTCGCCATCACCCGGCAAGAGTACCAAGAGCACGGTTCTTCTTGGGCAAGTCGGAAGTTTACTGGTGCTATATAAAGTTCAGCGGGCAATGGCTGTCTTGGTGGAGTTCAGGATTTTGCATTGATTGGAGTGTTACGGGGTTTGATGAGGGATGCTTGCTTTCCCTGCTTGCTTGCCTGGGTGCTGTTCGGTGTTTGTCTTCATACTTTTTAGCGATTCTCTGTGATACCCTCGAAGATGTTGGCCCATCCCAAGCCAGTGGAATTCATAGAACAATGTCATTATGTCATTTTCCCATCGGGGATGGGCGATGATGGTTTATCATTGCTCAGGGAAGTGGTGAGAGGTAGGAGCAGCGCTAGTAGGTCTTCATGCACTTCTCGACCACGCCAGAGACCAATACGTGAACCGACGACCAGTCTTCGGACTGCTGTTGGGCAGTGGCTAGTTTAGTTTGGTGACGATCGGAAGGAAGGAAGGTGAGCGAGCGAGCAAGTGATTGTGAGTCATGGAGGGGATTGGGGGAAAGAGTAGTAGTAGTTTGTTGCGGTGAGGCTGGGATGGGCTTTTGCTTTGCTACCTGATCTTCTTTTCCTGCTCGCCCCGCAGTCGAACACGTCGACAACCTCAACCGACGGTCAACCGCATGGTCGCGCTCCATGCGCCAGCTTACTTTCTTTTCGTCGTCTATCCCGAATTCCGGTCGCCAATAGTCCTCATCTATCTCTTCCGTATTCTCGCGGTTGGTCGAGGAGCCTAGCATGGACCAGGTGGTGCCCCGCCGCTCAAGGTCACCCTACAGCAGCACACGGACGAATGATGTCAAACTCTCTCGCAGCAAGCGTTGTCTGAGAGGTATCTCTAGCAAATAATGGGCGGTGGACATGTGGCATTCGACTGCCTTACCCATGGCATGGGTCGCTTAGTTGTCGCGCGATATACCCACCCTCCTCTTGTCTGGCTCTCTGGTCATCCCGGATGATATGCCGAGCAGTCCAACAAACAACCCGAATGATGTCTATAAAGACCCTGGCAGCTCTCGCGCCGGCTGCCGGCGATTTTATGCTAGTTATTATCTCCTACCAAACTCAATTTACATCATACATACATAACTTTCAGAACTACAACTCCATTCCAAGACCCTTGCCATCGATCTAAGTATTATGTTACTACTGTCCATTGCTCGTTGCTCGTGCCCTACTCTCTAAAGTCGAAACCAGCGATTATGGATTCCAGCGTCCCGGAATTGCACCCAGCAATCATTCAGTCCGATCTGCTCCTCCCCATCACCGACCCCGTCCCCAAGTGTACGACCCTCAACCGCTCTATCTCGTAGGTCAGCCAGAAGGAATTACAGCCACTGAAAGAGAATCCTTGCCGGAAGTCAAGATGACTGCGTTTAACGTCAAAGATCTGGCTGCGCGTGCTGCCCAGCGCCTCGCGGAACACCGCCAAAAGAGCGAGGCCCGTGGCAGCACTTTCAGCACGGAGCCGCTGCCAATGGACCGTGTCTCGAGTCTGGACACCAATTCGTTGAGAACCATGTCACATAGCGAAGACGAACACCGCCACAAGTCGAAGATGAGTCGGCTTGTGCAGAAGGTTCGAGGGCGGTTCTCGAAGCGTCTTGCGAAGAGGGAGGTAATCGACGAGTAAGTATCCCATTGAGATATTCCATCCAAGCCTTTGCTTTTGATGATAGCGCTAACTTACTCTATAGACCCTGCGCATGCTGCTTGGATATTATGCCTGCGGAATGCCTGATCAGCATGCCGTGTCAGCACAAGTACTGCAGCAGATGCTTGAAGAAGTTGGTGTTCACAGTTATGCCGGAGGAAGGACTGTTCCCACCCAGATGCTGCAAGCAGAAGATCCCAACGGAGGTCATCCTCCCCGTGCTGACACCGAAGGAGAGGACGGTCTATTTCGCCAAGGTGCAGGAGTATGCGACCCCAGCCAGAGAACGCTGGTACTGTCCTGCGCCGACGTGCGGCCGGTTCATCCCACCGAAGCATCTGAACAGCAAGCTCTCGTCTCAAAGCTGCCCATACTGCAGCACGACGTTCTGCTCTGGATGCAGATGCCCGGAGTACAATAATAGTACTTCGACTGGGAAGAAAGATCCGGGCTTTATGGCCGTCTTCGAAGATCCGCGACTCGGTAAAGCACAGAGGGGTCTCAAATGTGGCTCTTTGGTGGACCTCTTGTTCAATTGTGATCACGTTACGTGTCGGTGCAAGGCACAAGTCTGGTATGTTTCCCCTAGCTGCCCACACAAACTGTATCAGGATATTCTAACAGTCAAACAGTAACCTCTGTCGCAATCCATGGCTATCGTGCACTTGCGCCAAACCAGGCCAACGCCCCATCGACTTCCTCACCTTCATCATCGGCCACAGTGGCGTGAATAAAGACCAGGAGGCCGAACTCGCCGCGGTGGTGGCTGCCATCCTATGCAACGAAAGGTTGCGGGATGAAGAATTGGCAAAGACCCAAAGCGGCATGAAGGAAAAGGCAGGAAGCGCTAACAGAAGTCGGGCAAGTCTGCTGATACCGCAGCAGGCGACTCGGGCTAGGAGGGTTTCCTAGGCTCTGAGTATTGGGTGGATAGGAACCAGATTGATTTTTTCTTTTCTCCAACTTCAAGGAGGCATTCTGTTTTATGAAAATGTATCCTGGCGGCACACTCCTTAACTTTTCCTTTGTCTAGTCGTGTTCAATTAGCGTGTTATGATTATGAGAATGAATTATTGACTCTATATGGTTTTGCTGTTTGATATGTAAGGGTATGAGGAATAGTATATGAGTCGTGACTTGTAGCTGGTACAAGTGTTGCTGAGACTCCTTAATGGAATGTAAGCCTGGGTGTACAATGACGTGACTTTAATGTGTGGTCTGCTGCATGCTTTATCGCTACTTCTCGGTCACCGGAAGTTAAATGTACATGCAATCCGAACCAGTCATTAGCAAGACACACCAAACCGGGGTACATAGTATTCTAAGACATCACAGCATATAAGGGAGGGATATCGCAACGTTCGCTTGGATAGATACAGAGTTGATTGGATCAATCAATCAATCAATTAATAGTCGTAGAAGCCCTTTCCAGTCTTCTTGCCCAGCCACCCAGCATCAACCATACGCTTCAACAGCCCGGATGGCCGGTACTTACTATCACCAGTCTCCTGATGCAAGACATTCATGATAGCGAGACAAGTATCCAGACCGATAAAGTCCGCCAACACCAACGGACCCATAGGCACATTTGTGCCCGTCTTCATGATGTTATCAATATCCTCACGACCACCAACGCCCGTCTCTAAACAGATGATCGCCTCATTGATATACGGCATGAGGATCCGGTTCGCCAGGAAACCAGGCGAGTCCGCAGAAACAGAAGCGACCTTGCCCATACGCTGGACAAAAGCGATAGCGGTATCCTTTGTTTCCTGGGAGGTTTGCAAGCCAGCGATAATTTCTACGCCCTTTTGCACAGGGACGGGGTTCATGAAGTGCGTGGAGATGACGCGCGAGGGGGCTTGCAGGTCCCTGGGGTCTGTGGTGGTGGCGGCTGCGATCTTGGTGATGGGGATGGAGGAAGTGTTGGTAGCGAGGATGGCATGCTTAGGGGCGATCTGGGCGAGTTTTGAGAAGATAGAGGTCTTGAGGTCGGGGATCTCAGGGACGGCTTCGATAACGAAGTCGACGGTGGAGAGGTCGTCCATTTTCAGGCTCGTGGTGATGCGCGCCCGGGCGGCGTCGGCGGCGTCCCGGGTGAGACGTTCTTTGGATACATCTTTGTCGAGGAGTTTGTCTGGAGGAGTGAAGTGGTTTAGTTTGATGGGGCTGGGATGGTGGTGAGGGGGTGCTATGTACCGGCAAACTTGAGTCCCTTGTCGATGGATGCTTGGGAGTTGTCGATAAGGGTCACTGGGACTTGGGCTTTCTGGGCAGCTACTAGAGCAATTCCTAATCCCTAAAGGATATTAGTTCCTTCGAAGTTTTATATACTGGAGCGAATATCGTATTGTCAGGGTCACTAACCATCTGCCCAGCTCCTATCACACCCAGCGACTCAACCTCGGCAGCATGGACGGTGGGCGAGGTGCTGAAGGCCCGCGAGGCCATTGAGGGGCCCCGGTGGCAGAGAGAGCGCAATGATGAAGATAGCATATTGTATACTTGGGTACGGAGACTCTCGATACAGGATACGGAGCAGATCTAGCAAAGAGGGGAAGTAATAACCCGATAGTAAATAGAGGGCCGCACGGAGATGCATCGGGCCTCGGCCAATCTCATGTGATCCGACGTCATCGGCTACCCGCGGCTTTCTCGGCTGATTCGTTTATCCGGGATTTCCAAAGGCGGTGACACGTCGACGCGTGAGATACGCGCCATTATTGGTTGATGGCCAATCTAGGGGTGCGCGCGCAGGATCACCAAGCAGAGCATGATAGTGAGAAGGAGGAATGATACAAGGTGTGCAAGCACAGCATGGAGAACGAAGAACCAGTGCTGTCTGCACCGGACGTGCAGGTAGTGGACCCCGATGTCCGCGCCCATGTCTATAGTCTCGTCACTGCCGTGAGTAAACCCCCTTCCAGGACTGAACAATAGGATAGGAACATAGCTGATTATTCGCTCATAGTTGGGTGGTTTCAATGGCGAAGATGCAGACAAGTATGTGCTGGGAGATGACGCTCTGGCTTGTCTCCGGGATATTAAACGCTGGCTGAAGCTATACGATGAGAAACACAACCGGATGGATGTGGCACGGTGCTTGGGAGAAGCCAATCTTGTTAACGGAGATTTGCTACCCATCCTGGCAGTCTGGGCGAGCAGCAAGAAACAAACCAAATACATGTCTAGGATCGCATTGGCATGCTGTAAGTGACACTATGTGCTACAGTTCTTTGCGACGATATCTAACAGAGAGCAGTAGAGCTGCTGGTCCCTTTGACATGGCCGGTAGAACTACACGGGGAATTGACAATCAACCATCATCGGCATATACCATACATACAACATGTCCACGTTTCATACAAGCGAGGCCTACTAAGTCATGCTAGCACCAGCTACCTTCGAACTATTATCCGCGTCGGCATTCCGAGCATGGCCATCCCGCGATCCGAGCGAACGACCCGCGACGAAGGCATCCTCAAATTACTCCTTTATCTCCTCCGGAATATTGCTTTGATAACCCCAAATACTCGTCTCGCGGCGGAAGGCGACGAGGAGGAAACCTCGAGATCCGCAACAATCAACGCCTTCCAAGATCAAGATGTCTTCGCTCTCCTTCTGACTATGTGCTCCAACGTTGGCGACGACTTCACCATGCAAGATGTTGCTCTTCTGGAGATATTGTTTCATCTGATAAGGGGTGTTAATGTGGAGAAACTATTCATGGATGATAAACAACGGACAGCGAAACGGACGGACGAGCTAGGCAACCTGCTGCGCCAGGAGTCGTCTTGGCGGAGAGAATACGCGAAGGACGCACCAACTCGACATGGACGCTTTGGAACCATGATCTGGGTCAAGCGTGATGACGCCAAGTATTCGACCGTCTCAGGGCAGAACGTGCTCAAAGACAGCCAGGCGACCCTTCAAAAGATGGACGAGACCAAGAAGTGGAACAAGCCACTAATCCGGCGAAAGCCACAAGATTTGACTGTGCACAATGACTTCAGCACTCCGGTCCACCTAAACTCGACTGCCTCCAACAATCTGCGGATGTTCGTGGAAGAGTTCCTAGACTCAGGCTTCAATCCCCTTCTTACTCATGTACGGAAGGCAATCGAACGTGAAGCAGACCGTGTCATGGACATCAATACGCGCCAGTTTCTCTACACTACTGCCTGGTTTCTCGAAGCGGAGCGCGCACGTCGGCCACGCCAACGCAAGAAGCATGCAGAGAGCGAAAAGCCGGCTAAGGAGCTGGAACCCGATAGCTTTGGTCTAGTTGCGGGCGTTTTGAATCAAGAAACGTTCGTCTTCTTGAATCGCGCTATGCAGTATGCGCTGGATAACAAGGACTGGGAAGATCTCAACGCTGGAATGCGCTGCTTCACCCAGATCTTGTTGACCGTGCAGGACATGGCCCAGTCTCCGCTCGAAGAAGACCAAGAGATCGCTGAAAACATCAAAAATCGTATCTTTTACGAAGAGACAACCCATGACCGCGTCCTCGCTCTTATTCGTGGATACAAGGATCAACCGTTTGGGTATCTGGATGCGTGCACTGAACTCACTCACGTCTTCTTGCGAATGTTGGAGCGTTATTCGAAGGAGAACCTAGATATGCAAGTACGATCTCGGCGACGTGCCAGACGCAAAGCCAAGGATGTAGAAGGTGCTGGTAATGACGAGAATGATGAAGAGAATGGCTCCGAAGATGAAGATCGCATGGAAGCAGAACGAGTGTCCAAGGAGCGCAAGTTCGATTTCAGACGGTTTGCCGCCAAGTTCTGCAATCAGAAATGCGTTGACACCTTTGTTGCTTTCACCAAGCACTACAAGGAGTTGAACACTGAGCAGCTAAAACGTGCCCACCGTTACTTTTACAGGATTGCTTTCAAGCAAGAACTCAGTGTTCTGCTATTCCGACTCGATATCATCAACCTCTTCTACCGGATGATTAAAGGCCCAGGCGCCTTGAATTCGAGTAAACCGATCTTCAAAGAATGGGAAGAATTCGTGCGCCAGATTATCCGGCGATTGACAAAGAGGCTCGACCAACGGCCTGCCCTGTTCGTGGAGCTGCTGTTCAGTAAGATCAACGCGACTACATTCTACCTCGAATATGGTCACGAGCGGCAGACAGTCACCCGTGCCAGGAAGGCTCCAGCAGAACTAGAGATCGACCCTCGACAGGCTCATACAATTGAGGAGAAAATCAGCATCATGGTGCCTGCATTGGTCTTGGATGGGGAGGAAGATCTGGTCAGTTGGGTCAGCGATGTGTTGGGGTCGGCAGTGGAAGAGAGAGAGGCTTGGGAAGCCCAGGAGAAGGCCCTGCGCGAGGCGGGTGCGGAGAGTTCCAGAATGCCCAATCCTATGATTTGTACGGTTCTATTCTCTCATATATGAACTGGAAACTAACATTTCTGCAGCTGTGAAAGCGCGCGACGATGCATGCCAGCAGGCCATGTTCTCCAACGCGAAGCTCCGTCTTCTGATGACATTGGTCAAGTTTGAACGACTTGGTGCAGAGGACGTGCCTGGAGCAGCCTGGGTCATTCCTTCTGCTCCAAAGGCCCAGGATCTCAGAGAGATGAAGTCATTTATCGACAAATACTTCGAGAAAGCTAAGCGAGGGACACTTGGACGGGACCCCCGTGAGCTGATCCGACGGAAATACGGTGGTGGAAAGAAGTCATCAGACAACCAGTACAACCCCGATATTCAATTTGGGGACGATTCCGAGGGCGAGGACGAGGTACCAGACGGGCCCTTGTTCCCGCCGAACCCTCGGGCAGCGCCAAATCCAGCCAAAAAACCAACGAAGAAGAAAAAGCGCAAAGAACGTGACCCGGATGAAGAGGATGAGGACGACTCCGTGGATGAGGAGACATTGGAGGAGCGTCGCCGGGCGCGCTTGGAAAATAGTCGAGCTCGTCTTGCCAAGATCAAGAGTGATCTGTATGTGCACGCGAGTGACGAAGACACCGACGAAGAAGGAGACAAGGAGTTTTTCCTCCTGGAGGAGCAGAGACGTAAAGAACAAGC